TATGACACCGTTAACAGATACAGGGTAGATTTTCTATGAACATCAGTGTGACACTGTTAACAAATACTGTATGACACTGTTAACAAAAGTTGAATGACACTGTTAATAGATAAAGGGTAGATTTTCTATGAACATCTGTGTGACACTGTTAACAAATACTGTGAGACACTGATAACAAATACTGTATGACACTGTTAACAGATACAGGGTAGATTTTCTATGAACATTGGTGACACAGTTAACAGATACTGTGTGACACTGTTAACAAATACTGTATAACACTGTTAACAGATACAAGGTAGATTTTCTATGAACATCAGTGTGACACTGTTAACAAATACTGTATGACACTGTTAACAAATATTGAATGACACTGTTAATAGATAAAGGATAGATTTTCTATGAATATCTGTGTGACACTGTTAACAAATACTGTATGACACTGTTAACAGATACAGGGTAGATTTTCTATGAACATCTGTGTGACACTGTTAACAAATACTGTGAGACACTGATAACAAATACTGTATGACACTGTTAACAAATACAGGGTAGATTTTCTATGACATCGGTGACACTGTTAACAGATACAAGGTAGATTTTCTATGAACATCTGTGTGACACTGTTAACAAATTCTGTACAGATTTTATATTAAAGACTGTGTGACACAGTTAACAGATAATGTTTCACTTTTCAAATTCCAAGTATAAAATATTGTAAACAGATATGGTGTGTAGATTTTCCATTGACAATTATGTAACATTAATACGATAAAATGTTACACAGCATCACATGACCTTCCAGCATCACTTGAGCCAACGTAAAGTAACATGGCCAAGACTTTGTTGTTAATAATTCATGATTGTATCATAATAATTCAATGTTTTCATCAATTCAAAAGCCAGTAAAAAGTTAGTGCATAAAAATATTGACTGATAAGTTGCATTTTAAAGGTAAAACTGCTTTATTTAATAATTGTAAATTGAATAAGTCCAGTATATCTGTCATGTTTTAAGTAAAACAACTGAATTTGACCAAGGCCATCAGGTTTTGAATAATAATGGAGGGTTATGTGGAGTGATATACTGTAAAAGCAGAAATTTTCGTGGAGGATTTAATTTCGTTTATTTCGTGGAAAGAATATATCCACGAAATTAAAACCCCCACGAAAATTTAACCTACATATAATATCACTTCCATTTAATGAAAACCACGAAATTAAATCCTCATGAAATTTTATATAGAGACAAAACCACGAAATGTTAACCCCACGAAAATTTATGTTTCTACAGTATATCAAAAGATAAGAGGCTCCAAAGAGCCTGTGTCGATCACCTGATTCTACTTTGGTTTTGGAAATCATGTAAAAATAGATTAAAATCATAACAGATACCCTAATAATGATTGAGGCCAAATTTGGTTTAATATCATGACTATTGGCCCCAATTTAATCAAAAGCAGAAGACTTTTGTAAAGTTTACAGAAATTACCAATAAATTCATTGAAATTGTAGAAAATGACTTTATAAGGACAATGACACATCAGCTACAAAGTAACAACACTTGGTCAGCACCTCAAAAGAAACATTCATACCATAAAATTGAGAATGGAAATGAGGAATGTGTCAAAGAGACAACAACCCGACCATAGAACAGACAACAGCAGAAGGTCACCAACAGGTCTTCAATGCAGCGAGAAATGCATGTTTGGTTTCAATCCATTAAGCGGTTTTCTAGAAGAAGACATTTGTATATATTTCCCATAGGGTCCTTTGTTAAAACTAAGTCCCCTGTTGGCAGCCATTTTGATGGATTTGCAACAAAGTAACAACACTTGGTCAGCACCTCATAAGGAACATTCATGCCATGTTTGGTTTCATTCCATTCAGTGATTCTTCAAAAGAAAACTTTTGTATGTATTTCACATAGGGTCCTTTGTTAAACTAAGTTCCCCGCTGGCAGCCATCTTGGATGATTGATTTGCTACAAAGTAACAACACTTGGTCAGCACCTCATTAGGAACATTCATGCCATGTTTGGTTTCATTCCATTCAGTGGTTCTCTAAAAGAAAACAGTTGTATGTATTTCCCATAGGGACCTATGTTAAACTAAGTCCCCACTGGCAGCCATCCTGGATGATTGATCGCCTACAAAGTTCCAACACTTGGTCAGCACATTATAAGGAACATGCAGGCCATGTTTGGTTTCATTCCATTCAGTGGTTCTCTAAAAGAAGACATTTGTAGGTATTACCCATAGGGTCCTATGTTAAACTAAGTCCCTCTCTTGCGGCCATCTTGGATGATGAATCAGCTTCAAAGTAACAACACTTGGTCAGCACCTCATAAGGAACATTCATACCATGTTTTATTTCATTCCATTGAGTTGTTCTCTAAAAGACGACATTTGTATGTATTTCCCATAGGGTCCTATGTTAAACTAAGTCCCTCTCTGGCAGCCATCTTGGATAATGGATCAGCTACAAAGTAACAACACTTGGTCAGCACCTCATAAGGAACATTCATGCCATGTTTGATTTCATTCCATTCAGTGGTTCTCTAGAAGAAGATCAGAATGTTAAAGGTTAACGACGACGACGGATGCCAAGTGATGAGAAAAGCTCAATTGGACCTTCGGGCCAGGTGAACTAAAAAGAATATAAAATGTAACATTCTCTTATTTTAAAGTTTCCATTGAAAAATAATAAAATGATATTGCTATGCAGCTGCAAGCAATCTATTTTCAGATTCATACCACATCTTTAAAAAAAAGCCAATGTGAAGATGTATATTATGCAGCTGTTTTTAATAATTTTTTTGCTATCTTCCTAATATTTCTCCACTTTTCCCGACACTATATACATGTAATTCTATTTTTGAAATAGCTTCTCTTTCCATATGATTAGCAGGAGTGACATGAAAATATAACAATATATTTCTTGTGAACTCTATAATATCTTTATAAATAACAATTGAAAACAAATGATATGCTACCAACAAAACCCCATACATGGATAACATAAATAAAAAAAAAACAATATTGGGACTATATTTTCACATAAAAAAATTACTATAAATTCAGAAAGTATTGCATGCATTTATTATTGTGATTGTTCAAAAAATGATTAAAAATTTCAAGATCAATTATTATGATTCGGAAAATGTGGCATACAAATAATGCGATTAAAATTCTAAAATGTGCATTTTTATTTTTGAGAATCAGATCCAGTAGCAATTTTTACAATAATAAAAACATCGCAACAATTTCTAAATTTACAGTAAATCATAATAAAGTGATTCGCCATGAGTGCATGATACACCCATCGCTTTTTCAAAGAATAAAGTTCCATAACTCCTCAATAGATATAAACAATTCACCAAAGTTTCATGAAAACTGCTCAAAGCATTTTTGAGGTATTGTCCGAAACTGGAAAATCCCCCTTTTTTAATAAATAAAACCCCATAACTCGAAAAGTAAAATCCAAAATTTAAAAAAATCAAAAGGGAGCTCACGTCAATAGATATAAACAATTCACCAAAGTTTAATGCAAATTGGTTAAAGCGTTTTTGAGTTATTGTCCGACATGTTGACGACGGACGGACAATGGTATACCATAATATGTCACCACGTAAATGGCCGTATAAAAATAGTGACATTTACATATTTCAGGAGTTTTTTTGGTTTCTTTGAATACTGCTTCTTTCTAAGTTGAAATATAAAACAAAATTAAAAAGTAAAAAACAAAAACAGTCAAATAAACAAAAATAATACTATCTATAATATTTTTTTTGATATGGCACAGGTATAATAGGGTAAAACTATAAAAATAAAAGGTTTTGTGTCTCCAAAAACAATCATCCTGCTTCAAAGGTACAATATTTTAAAGCTATAACTTAGACCTTAATACAAAACTGAAGATTAACTCTGCATGAAATGTAGTGATGATTCCATTTAGACTAAATACTGAAGAAGCTAGTTTTACCACATGATTAAAATGTCATGGTAAAATAAATCTCTTATCTCGGCTTTATTGCACATTTTAGACCAAACGAAATAAACCAGCTCCTCTCATCAATTCAAAAAAATTATGATAAATCCAGAAGGTTTTTTTTTGTACAACTAGAATTTCATGGGAAAAACTAAAATAATGAAATCAACTATCAATATTTAACTGATATGGTATTTGTTTTCCAATGAAAAAAAATATATGGCAAGATATGTTTATTGTAAATTATTAAGAAACTGAGAGTTGATTAAAACATTATACCAAGTCCTGCTTGAAATTGTGGCACTACAGAGATACCCAGGTTTGTAAGAAACATATTCAAAAAGCTAGAGATTCATATTTCAACCTAAGGAACACAAAATTGAGAGCCACTATTTGATTTAAGATGTAACTTCACAAGTTTAACATGGATAAAAAGGTAGCAAGTATTTCAAGTCGTGTGGCCTGCAAAACACATCTTTAATATTATTACATCAATATAATATCTTAAAGTATAAAAATAACATAATTGCACTGCTTAATGTGAACACAACAAAGTAACATTTAAAAACATAAAAATTCAAAATTTTATCACAAAAAAGAAATAATAAAGGTACTATGAAAATTCTTCAAAATATTTTTTTCAAAAAAAACTGTTCCATTTTTAAAAGTCTATGTGGCATGGGGCAAAGTCTTTTGTAAATATTTTTGCATATATATTCTAACCTTAAAAAAGTGATGTGTTTTTTCTAAAATTATTGCAAAAACAAGAAGTAAGTTACTCTGCTTTTAACAGAAATACAAGAGTTGTCTCTATTTTAACAACACTACAAACCCTATGTTGACTAAGGGGTATTCCTTTAGATGGATATACAAGTTATTTTGATGTTACATCAGCAAATAGTTCAAACTAAAGGCTCATTGGAGTCTGAATTGCTCACTTGGTTGAATTTTGCCCAAGAAGCTTTGTATCAAAGTAATAACACATACTGAATACCTTCTAAAGAATGTTTCCAAGTATGATCTTATGTAAACAAGAACTTGTGTAAGACTTTAACAGGAACATATTTGATGACTAAATCCAAGTATGATCTTATGTAAACAAGAACTTGTGTAAGACTTTAACAGGAACATATTTGATGACTAAATCCAAGTATGATCTTATGTAAACAAGAGCTTGTGTAAGACTTTAACAGGAACATATTTGATGACTTAATTCAAGTATGATCTTATGTAAACAAGAACTTGTATAAGACCTTCATAGGAACATATTTGGTGACTTAATTCAAGTATGATCTTATGTAAACAAGAACTTGTGTAAGACCTTCACAGGAACATATTTGGTGACTTAATTCAAGTATGATCTTATGTAAACAAGAACTTTACCTCTTTATTTTACAATAAAGCGACATAAAAACAAAAGCCATATTATGCATAAAAATTTCTTCTACAAATATTCTACTGTAATTGAACACATTGTTTATTGCCTAAAATTGTAACATTGGAATTCAGACAGATACATGAAAAATTTGCACAGTGTTTAAGAATCCAATAAATTATATTGAAGAATATTTACTTCTTTTTATGAAATGGTAGATGCATTCCTATAGGCGTCAGAAATAAAGACTAGATTTCATAAATCAAAAGCCTTAATTTTATAAAATTTGGACAAACTTTATTAGTTTTCTGTAGAATAAATAAAAACAATAACTAACAAACAGAAGAATGAATAAAAACAAACAAATTATTTCCATATAAATAATCAATCTTAAGATAGGAGGATTTCAGACATGAAATAGAAGAACATCACTCATAACAGAAATTTATCTCTTATATATACATGATATATATAAACACATCACCATGGATATTAAAACATAAATACATCTCTTATAAACAAATACATAACAACAGATATTAAATGCACCTCTTATAAAAAAAACATCACCATGGATATTAAAACATAAATAATTTTTTATGATTAAATACATCACCATCAAAAGTCCAGAGACATAAAAAAAAACACATTTTTACAGATATCAAAACTTAACAACCAACAACATATGATATAAAAGGCATTTAAAAATGATTTATGTTATAATACAGTATGTATATAGATATGAAAATCCTATCAAACAAAAATGTTCACTTTTTTATATCTAATACTGCCCCTCAATACAGCACCCAGAGGACATGTGAAAATATTGTGCTTTTCTGAGTTATGGGCATGTTTTGTGAAAATAAGAATCTCCAATTTACAATTTAATAATTTCTTTCTAAAAAATTATTCTTTTTACAGCATCTTTTGTTTGTATTCTTAGATGAAAACAGAAAAAAATATCCCTATACTTAAAAAAATCAAACTCAAAATTTAGAAACTTCATTTTTTAGAAAAAGTATAGTGACATTCTCTGTCCTTATATGGGTAAAAACAAAAATCAGGTGCTTTCTTTGTTAAAAATACATCATATTTTCACACAAACTAATATCAGATTACTGATATATAATGTTTTATTTTTAGACCACTGAAAATGTCACTATTGCAAATATCCTACAGTTTTTTGGTGACTGGGCTACTATTGATGACTGAGCTACTATAGGAAATCTCCTACAGTTATTTGATGACTGAGCTACTGAAGGAAACCTAATACAGTTATTTGAGCTTATATTCCACAGCAGCAAATACTCACTATTACACCATGATAAACGTAAAATAAGTAAATAATCAGATCATCTTAAAACGAACTGGAACATTATTTACTTTGTATGAACAATATCTTTCCTATCCTCATCATTATCGGACATCACACATCAGTCTCTTCAATGGGCATATCAAATATATCATCCGAATGTGATGTGGACAGTCTTAATTCAGAATCTTCCTCCGCTGATATCGATCCATGTGATCCGTTACGCTGAACATGTGTTGTTGACAGCCTCAATTCAGAATCATCCTCGGCTGATATCGATCCATGTGATCTATTATGCTGATCATGTGTACATATAAAGGGTTGATTACAGTTAACATCGTGAATGGGAATTAAGTCATCAAACACGTTGTTTATGTCTTGTAAATGAGCAATATCTCCTTGTTCCTTAGATCTTCTCATCTTATACTTTTCTGACAAACTTTGTAGATAAGAATCAGACTGCGAACACTGGAGAGGTTTTCTCTGTATTTTCATGCATTCAGAGTGTGAAACTTTCAACGGGAGGTGAATATTTTCACTTTCTTGTTCTATTAACTGGTTCATTTCTGATGTCTCTGAACTGTCACTCATCATTTCTTCTGTTTCCTGGTCATGTATATAGTGTGGATAGCCAAGTCCTGCAGGGGAATAGAAACAGTTAGGACTGCCATATTCTACCTGATTGTTACTTTCTATAGGTGAATGTCTGTCAAATTGTTGGTCGTCAGTATTGGTACTATCTGTATGATCAGTAATATGACTATCTGTCATGTCTGACTGGGTTAGATCATTCATTACATGATCAGAATTATCACTGGTTTTTGATTCTTGTTTTATGAAAGGCATGTCAAAACTTGTTTCGTTTGGAGATTTGACAGTTGGCGATTGTTGTATAGTCTCTAATGGACTTTGTAATGATTTCCGTAAACTGTCACGGTTACTGCTAATAATATTTTTCAAACTACCTGAGCTTGCTAAGCTTGACCTATCTGATAAAGTTTCTGGACTTGCTAAAGGTGCATCTTTATTTTCATTTAGGTTCAAGGTCATCTTTGGCTTATTTTTAGTAATGATAATATTTCCTTCAGAATCTAATGAATATTCATTTTCAGTATGATAGTTAGTCATATCGTAAACAGGTAACTGACATAAAGATTGATCTGCAATCTCTGGTTGTATCAGAATATCCACTTGTCCCAGACCTAGCACAGAATCAACAGAGGGCGTTCTATTGTTTAATAAATTCTGCCGTTCATCTTCTGTTAATGTTCTTATTGGTTTTGGTGGAGCAACATTAACTAAAACCTGAAATAAAACATTATACTAAATCATTCACATAGTAATGCACAAAAAGTTAAATACCTAAATATATCTAACCTTCAGACATAGGGACATAAATGATGCAGTCTGGTTTTCCTAAAATCTATGATTGCCTTCTAGATATATCAAATCAATATCTTTCATACTTATGTGTAATAAATCAACTTTATCACCCAAAAGGCCAATTTTCATTTTCACATAACAGCCACAGAAATTTGTATATTTATAGAAAATCATGACAAAATTTTAAATCGAGATTTTGATCAAGATATGGCCATATAACTTTAGAAATATAGCTTTATTTGTGTACTTATGTCAGTTGTACAATCAGACACATCTCTGATGGTTTATTTAGTTATGTATTATTTTAAAACAAAATATTTCATTTAATTAATCAATACTTTCAGAAAACCTGTAAAACAATTTTTAAAGGGAAATAACCTTACTTAAAACTACGCTATTTTACTGCAGGAAAATAATTAGTAAAATTAAAATTAAAGAATCTTGAAAAATTATACTTTTGTGGGTTAAAGGAGTTATATTGTAAATATATTGATTGAACTGATTGGATTACAGGTATATATTCGCCTTATAACTGTCCACCAATCTGATTAAGAAAACAACTATCGTAAACATGCATTTTCACTATTTCAAAAAACTTGTCACATGGGGGCAACAGTATTATACCGCTGTTCAATATGCATAATTTGATTAAGCAAAAACAAAATTGGGTAACAAACTAAAACTGAGGGAAACACATCAACTATAAGAGGAAAACAACGGAACAACATGTAAACCACAGAATAACAAAGGACCTCCCATGAATTTACTACAGTACACCAGGACACCACAAACGAAATATAAACTGAGTGTCACATGAATGGATCAACGTCACAAAAAGTGACGTATTTTTTGTGATGTTTATATTATCACAGGTAAATTTCTAAAAATAGAATAGATTTGTTTTATTTATAGACACTTACAAGAATATTAAATTGGGATCGAGTTTGTAATGGTGTTATTTGATGTATTTTCTCACCATGACATGAATTTTAAAATGGAATTGTGCATGTAATAGTGTTATTATTTGTATTTTCTAACCATGTCCGTTTTTCTTCTAAATCAAAACTGTGTATTAACAAAAAAATCCTGTGCATATAGTTGCTTTAAACTTAAAATCATATAAATGAATTAGCTGATTTTTCATCTTAACTTTTAGATACATTTAGAAAATAAAAATTAAATAACTGTTATATAAGGCAAGTTAATGTAAGACCAAAAAGTAAACACACATGAAAACAAACAACATAAAACAAAAACCCTGTAGACGAACCACGAGTAACTCGACTAACATTACACATGTGTTTATAAGTTTTTTTTTATACTTTTTAATAATCATTACTCCCAGTGGTTCTTTGGTTGGCCTATCACAATGTTCGAAATCATAAGTTTGCCATTCATTTCAATATTGTTGGTTTGTTTAAACCATTCAAATAATTATAGTTTTTAATATCTTACTGAAATAGTTCTGTTTATAACAATTCCATTTTTTTAATTACTATATGCTGATGTAAAGTTACACATGTGTTTGTAAGTCTATTTATACTTTTTGATAATCATTACACCCAGTGGTTCTTTGGTTGGCTTATCACAATGTTTGAATTCAATATCATTACATTATAAGGTGCCGTTAAGCACTTTAACTGAAAGAAATTGTATAAAGAGTAGAAAAATCAACCAAATATCCATGTAAATCCTAACATGATAGAGAACTAATTTTACTTGAAGTAGGTCATTTAATTTTGTTGAAATGACAAAAAATGTGCAAATATTAAAAAAGAATGTTTGAATTATATTTAGATCTGCAAATAAATTGTTTCAGTTCCTCTAATCAGAATTAAATTTTATAGAAACAAAATATTTGTAATTATGTAGCCTAAACTGTAATGTCACCATATCAAGGGAGGTAATTCAAAATATTTTTGAGCATTAAACTTAATATGACAGGAACCACATTTATATTAGTCAAGACACAAAACCTTTTGACTGTGTGTTGTGTTTTGGTACTAAGATATACATTTTTTTCTATAATGTAGGGTAAGCTTGTAATTTTCCACCATTTTGGGGCAAAGTAACATGACGTACATCAACCTATATGCATATACCACATTTGTAAAATGTGCACCTGAACTTATAATGTGAAGAGAATAAATCTCAAGGAATAATCCTTAACAGACAGATGTTAAGGACAATACAACTCTATTATATAATAATAGTAATTGAAGTACTAGGTGAAAAACAAATAATGTAAATTGTATGGCATCCGAAATCAAGGAAATTTAGCACATGTTTCTTGTAAAAACAATATTTTTTCCCCCATTGATTAGGCATTGATTCAGGATTTGAGTGTCGGGGGATATGATGACCTTATTAACATTTTAAAACAATTGATTGTTTACTGATTTATGGTGGGACTGCATCAGGTGCCTAAATCTGCTCTGTTGAGTCTGGACTGCGTCAGGTGCCTAAATCTGCTCTGTTGAGTCTTTATCTCTTTATCTTGGTCACAGAAAACCCCAACTGAGAAATCAACTAATTACTCCTGTTAAAGGTTGAAGAGTTATACTGCTAAAAACATTGAATCCAGCCAGTAAACCTGATGGTTTCTGAAGGTCCTCTTCAGTAACCTAACGAATTGATGAGAAAAATACGACATATAAGGCTGTGTGATTTTTGTGAATCCAAAGTGTATGCTATGTAAAAATAAGGAAATGTGGTGTGATTGCCATATGAACATAACAATTGTAACATCTGACAATGCACATGTTTTCAAGTTAAAATGTACTTGATAATAAACTCTGAGTGTATAATGACCATGGAAATTTTATCATCATCATTTTCTATTAATTTATCATGTTTATTATCATAATTATGTCATGTATATTGAAATCATATGCTCAATCAGCTTCTCTCTTTGAAAATTTTATAAAGACATTAAAAGATGAAAATTCTTCTTTTAAAGTCATTAATTCCACCTGTCAGATTTCAGATTCTAACAAAAAATAACAAGGAAAGAAAAATAACTTCAAAAACACTCAAAATAAATACCACAAAGGAAATAAAACAGAACAATAGACCATGTAATAAATTCTTTCAAGATAATGAAAGTGAAAAGGGACAAGATAAGAAAGATGGTCCCAAAGCAGAAGCTAGCTGGTCAAAGACTAGGGGAAACTAGAAAGTGTCGTGTCCAATGGTCAATACACGACAAAGGATTTTCAAGAAAGATCTACACAAAGAAATATTAGCCAGAACATTATTATCCAATGAGGAAGGACTTTTCCTACATATTAAAATTAGTAATGTACCCGTTACTATGTTGGTTGATACTGGTGCAATCATTACTATTTTGAGAACAAATATCATTTCTCATTTACCCAATTATATTATAGAACACCTGGAAAAGGTAGAGACAAATTTGGTCAAGGCAAACGGAGAATCAACTCCATTTTTTGGTAAATATAAAGTTGAATTCAATCTGTTCGAAAAAGCCATTTGAACATAAAGTTTGGTTTGACATTTAAAATGAAGGGATACTGGTTTTGATTTTTTATCTAAGTGCAATATTTCTATAAAAAACTCTAGTCTGACAATAGAAAACATAACTAAGATTCCATTCAAGTATGGATAAAAGTTGTTGTATTGTTATTGCAGAAAAAACTACAGTTCACCCTTATACAGAAGCAATTTTAACAGGTATTCCTATTAATTATTTATTTAATTGGAGTGAATGATAATTGAACCATTGAAAATATTTACTGAAAATATGCATTTGCTTTTGGTAAGAACACTTTTGAAAACTGACCGCATATCCCATTAAGAGTATTTAATGTATCTGATTAACCTGTATTCTTTAAACAGGGTAATTCACTGCAGTTATCGAAATCATTATTAAAGTTTGAAGTAATTATCAAATATCCAGTTCTTCTGTCGCTAAAGGAACCAACAAATTCCCTACCATCTGGACTCATTGTATGAAAAGTCATAAAAAGAATTAAGTAATTCAGAAAAAAGTAAATTGCAAAAATTGCCTTCAGACTTTCAAGATATATTTTCAAAATGTTTGACCCATATTGGACAAACCAATGATAACATGAAATAGAAACAGTCAATAGCAAACCAAATACGTCTTCCTCATCGACGAATACCACTAGCAAAGTGTCCAGATGTAAGGAAGGAAATAAAAACATGGGTGTGATAAAACCAAGTCAGAGTTTATAGTCAAGCCCAATATTGTTGGTTGAAAAAAGAGACATCAATTCGATGCTGCATTGACTATAGGCGGTTAAATGACGTGACTGTAAAAGATTCACATCCTTTACCAAGAATCGATGATACCCTTAAAACTCTCTCAAATGCAAAATTGTTTTCAACCATTGATATGAGAAAAGGGTACTGGAAGATAGGGGTAAAGAAAAAAGACCGACCTAAAACAGCTTAAATGACTACAGATGGTGGGTTCTGGCACTAGGTTACAATGTCATTTAGCTTATGCAATGCTACAGCAACTTCAGAACGCCTTGCAAAAACCATTTTATCTGGTCTAACATGCCAACTCTGTTTGGTGTATCTTGATGACATAATTGTCTTTGGTTCCTCTTTTCAGGATAAACTACAACATATGTGATTAGTTTTCTTACGAATTAGGGATGCCAGTTTGAAATTAAACCTGGATTAATGCAACTTATTTCAAACACAGGAAAAACTTTCAGGTCAGGTAGTATCAAGTCAGGGTGTGTTGACAGACCCTGAAAAAGTAAGTGCAGTGGAAAATTGGCCTAAACCTTATAATTCAATGGAACTCCAAAGTTTTGTTAGGCTTATGCTCATATATCAGAAATTCTTACAAAAGCTTTTCCATATTGCAAGACCTTTAAATGCTTTAAAAAGATTCTCCTTTCTTCTGGTCAGAGTCGTGCCAACAGTCATTTCAAATATTAAAAGATAAATTGGTTTCTTCACCAATTTTGGGGTTTCAACAAAGCGAGGGTTACTTGATATAGATGCAAGCAATTATGGTATAGATGGTGTTCTATCCCAAATTCAAGAAGACACTGAGCGTATAATTGGATACTTTAGTAAAAGTTAAAGTAGAGCTGAACACTCTTATTGTGTGACAAGGAGAGAATTGCCTGCCTTAGTACTGTCAGTGCGCCATTTTAATAGTTATTTACATGGTGGAAAATTTACACTTTGAACAGACCATAGCTCATTACACTAGTTAAAAAACTTTAAAAATCCTGAAGGTCAACTAGTCAGGTGGTTGGTAGTTCTTTCAGAGTATGAGTTTGACATAGAACATAGAACAAGGCGAAGCCATTTGAATGTGAACTTATTCTTAGTTTATTACATAATGGAAACATAATGCTCAACACCATATGGAAAGAACAACTTAGAGATCCTGATCTTGAAACATTTGTCTAATTTAAAGAAGCTTGAAATAGACCAAGGTGGTCAGATATTTCTTGTCTACCTTCTCATTTTTAATTTTATTGGGGAAGATGGGATGTATTCTATTTAAGGTCAGGTGTCTTGTACAGAAAATGTGAATCATCTGATGGTGGTAGTTTTGAAAGGCAACTTGTTCTCCTTAAACTGATTAGACAGTTTGTGTTAAAAAAAACTTCATGAAATTTCGACTTCTGGTCATCTTGGCACTGCAAAAAAGACAGTAAAATAAAAAGTTGTTTCTTTTGGTGTGGTATTCGTCAAGATGTGTATCATTGGTGCCAAATAGGCAGCAAATTTGCACAAAAGAAACGAGCACCTAGAAAAGTAAGGGCTCCTCTTCTAACTTATCTAGTTGGTGCTTGGACCTTTACAAAACACTGAGTGTGGTAACAATTATTTTCTGGTCATGGGTGATTATTTAAGAATCAAGAGGCTATATCAGTGGCTGATATTTTAATTAAGAATTTTGTAGTTTTGTTTGGTGTCCCAGGAATAATATACTCTGACCAGAGTACTAATTATGAATCTCAGGTCTTAAGAGAGATGTGTTACATTCTTGGGGTATATATGACTAGAATCACACAATTGCACCCAGAAAGTAATGGTATGGTTGAAAGATTGAATAAGATAAAGTTAAGAATGGAAACGGGGAATGTGTCAAAGAGAGAACAACCCGACCAAAGAGCTGAAAACAGCCTAAGGCCACCAATTGGTCTTCAACATAGCGAGAATATCCCGCACCAAGAGACTCCTAAACAAAAATGTGTACTAGTTCAGCGAAAATGGACATCACACTAAACTCCGAAAAAACATATAAATGAACCAAAATTAAAAAAAAACAAAACATACAAGAGTAACAAAGGTCAGAGATACAGGAAGATATGTTGGCTCTCTTTTGTTGTGAAAACCAATGAGATTGGCATGAACATTTTAATATGCTCATGAGGGCATACAGATGACCCATTTATGAGACAACTGAAGTGTTGCCATGACAAATGATATTTGGTCCTGAAATGAATTTACCACAAAACAAAGGAGACCTCCATGAACTATCAAGAATTACAATTGACGTTCCTTTGGAAGATTTTGAGACACTTATCAGGAAGAAGATTTGACAATTTGGGACTTATTATCATCTTTATATTTTATTATCTTTATATTTTATTGATTCATATTTCATGTTTGTGCTTGAATTTGTATTATGAACTGAATAAGTTCAAATATACATAAAACCTGCTGAAAATCCATTACTCCCATTTTATTCTGATCATATGCATTTCCTTTGAGGGCAAACACCATCAAAGATGGGGAAATGTTATGTCCTATTAATTAACTTATTCATTTTATCATCATATTCTATTAATTTAACCTGTTTATTATGTTTGAAAAGTTGTTTATATATGTAAATAATTATTATCATTTACCTTTTTACTTACAGTACACAGGTTTAAATTTGTTATGCATGATTGATTTTATGTACCTGATGTAATTTATCTGAGTGTGTTAGTAAAATATTATGTGACTGGTTAGTTTTACCATAAGAGGCGTCTGCAAATACACACTTGGATGTTCAGTCTTTCAAAGAAAACAGAAAGTTACATGTGCCACATGTGGAACAGAATCTGCTTACCCTTCCAGGGCACCTGAGATCACCCCCAGTTTTTGGTGGGGTTCGTGTTGCTCAGTCTTTAGTTTTCTATGTTGTGTTTTGTGTACTATTGTTTGTCTGTTGGTCTTTTTTCTTTTTTAGCCATGGTGTTGTCAGTTTATTTTTGACTTATGAGTTTGAATGTCCCTTCAGTATCTTTTGCCTCTCTTCTACTAAAGATAGATGTCAAGTTTGGTCTGATTTGCACTGTCAATTTAGGAGAAAGAGGTCAAAGGTTGTCAGAGCATCCTACTAAAGATAGATGTAAAGTTTGGTCTGACTTGCTCTGTTTGTTTAGGAAAATAGGTCAAAGGTTGTCAGAGCATCCTACTAAAGATAGATGTCAAGTTTGATTGATTTTCTCCGTCAGTTTAGAATAAAGAGGTCAAAGGTTGTCAGAGCATCCTACTATTGAAAGATGTCAAGTTTGGTTTGATTTGCTCTGTCAGTTTAGAAGAAAGAGGTCAAAGGTTGCAAGAGCATCCTACTAAAGATCACAAGACAACAACAGCCACCAAGTAATACCATAAAAGTACTATTGGCCTTCAGAAAAATTATCTAAAGAGGATATAACTATCAGCAAACAATTGGATTTTTATCTATACCTTTTCCAATGCATCCATAACATTATCAGGCATATGGTCGTTTATCATTGTAGGGGATACAAGTACTTCATCAAAACTTGTGTTGTCAGCCCAGATAGCTTGGTATACAGGCTCATTATTACCACAACATAGACTTGACCTGTAAATAAAGAACAAGATCTTTGATAAAACTTGTGTTGACAGGCCAGACAGCTTGGTAAACAGGCTCATTATTACCACATTATAACCTTGATCTGTAAATAAAGAACAAGATCTTTGATCAAACTTGTGTTGTCAGCCCAGATAGTATGGTGGACAGGCTCATTATTACCACAGCATAACCTTGATCTGTAATTAAAGAACAAGATCTTTGATCAAACTTGTGTTGTCAGCCCAGATAGTATGGTGGACAGGCTCATTATTACCACAACATAACCTTGATCTCTAAATAAAGAACAAGAGCTTTGATCAAACTTGTGTTGTCAGCCCAGATAGTATGGTGGACAGGCTCATTAATACCACAACATAGTCTTGACCTGTAAATAAAACTCAAGAGCTTTGAAGAAAAAAACATGTGTTGACATTATTACCCCAACATGGCCTTGGACTGTCAAAAAAAAAAGAGTCAGAAACTTTCCACAACACAGTCTTGATCTGCAAATACAAGAAATTATAAAGACTCCCCTAGGGTGTGTAGGTGGTACTGTAAATTCAGAAATTATTGTGAGGTTTTTATTAATGAGAATAATGCGACTGGGTGACTATTGCAATAATAAGAACTCGCATTCTGATGTCTGTTACATATATCTGTATGCAGATTGTCATGATAACGCAATAATTAATCTCGCATTTTTGTCCATTCTTGAAAAATCGCAATAATAAATGCACGCAATAATTTCTGAATTTACAGTATTAAATCCCAAAAGTTGAATACTCGTTGGAAAAACCTTGTTTTTGGATGATTTGTGAAGTACTTATTGACCCTCAGAACAATGAGAAGGTTGGGTTTTTGTGTCCTGCTCAGAGTGGTCTTTACCCACAGAGTTATACCATTGGAAGAAAACAGTTCCTTGTTACAGTAGTCTATGGAATGTCATTGCGGTAACAAAATGCTAAAATTCCAAATTTATACGATTCTTGACTATACATCGTCCCCAAACCAGAAGTAGCAATTTCATCGCCTCCATAATCTGAAAATACTTACAGAAGATGTATTTCTGTATGTTTGGAACCTTTCTGAGCTTCTCATCCCCATTACTTCATGTGTGAGTGCAAAAGGTTCAACCCACTCCATTAAAAATTCCTTCTTTCGAATTCCTAACATGTCTTGGTCTGAATTTTTGTCCCTTCAGTTATTACATTATTGTTATTAGATTATTTATGTTTAACAAAATAGAAAAATAGCTTACACTTATTGCAGAATTATATTCTGTGAAATGATAACGGACAAGCTACACTTTGGAACTATGGAATGCTGTGGCTGGCACAAAACAGGAAATAGCATCTAACCTGTCAAATAATGGGACCCGCATAGTAAAGGTGAACATTCCATGAAAGTTTAATAAATTTATTTAGGTAAAAAAAATGTAAACCAATACTGCATGTAAATGTTAGCAGCAAAAGGCTAAGTCTATCCCAATACTGTATGTAAATGTTAGCAGCGAAAGGCTAAGTCTATCCCAATACTGTATGTAAATGTTAGCAGCGAAAGGCTAAGTCTATCCCAATACTGCATGTAAATGTTAGCAGCGAAAGGCTAAGTCTATCCCAATACTGCATGTAAATGTTAGCAGCGAAAGGCTAAGTCTATCCCAATACTGCATGTAAATGTTAGCAGCGAAAGGCTAAGTCTATCCCAATACTGTATGTAAATGTTAGCAGCGAAAGGCTAAGTCTATCCCAATACTGTATGTAAATGTTAGCAGCGAAAGGCTAAGTCTATCCCAATACTGCATGTAAATGTTAGCAGCGAAAGGCTAAGTCTATCCCAATACTGCATGTAAATGTTAGCAGCGAAAGGCTAAGTCTATCCCAATACAGTATGTAAATGTTAGCAGCGAAAGGCTAAGTCTATCCCAATACTGCATGTAAATGTTAGCAGCGAAAGGCTAAGTCTATCCCAATACTGCATGTAAATGTTAGCATAAAAATTGTAATAATTTAAATGATTGCTAATGAAATAAAATGTCAGTTGTCATGATTTGGTTATTCTTATAAGCCCTTTTTGATCATATAGCTGTTTATATGTTTAGATAGTTAAACAACCTTGGAGTTCCTGATTAAAGTCAATCCAGAAAAGTGCTTAGGGCACAAATTTATAAAGTGTTATTTTTATTTCAAAAAAATATTTTTTGTTAATTGCTAACATATACTTACCCATTATTTTTAGGATGACTCCTCACCACATGTATAATTTTACCGGGAGGATACAGCGGTGTATGAGCTACTAGTGTGATGTCATCATCTGATGGATGAGCATGGAGATCTCGTTTTTCTATTTCATGTCGTACTTGTTCTAGATTCATCTTATCTGTTTCAGAGGAACCACAACATATACCTTTCATTATGATCTTCCACTGTAATACAAGGTTTGAGGTTGACCAATGACATATATTTCAGCAGATTGGTTGAAAGGGGAACATTCTAATCTTTATAAACATAATACTAGGTTACTAATAACCAGGTTAGAAATATCACATGACCTTCAGCTTTCTGGAAATTGGGCAAGTTTTGTCAACAACATCACATATCATTTCTTGTATTTGATATTAAACTGTCTGTGTATTTGTTTTGATTAGCCTTTTCAGTGTGGTTTATCTGTACAATTGTGACCTTTTCTGTGAGGTTTTTCTGCACATTTGTCTTGACTAACCCTATGGACTTTTCTGGGTGGTTCTTCATACTTTTAAGAAGTCCTACAGTTTTCACTGTACTGTAATTTTTTCTTTGTAAGTCATATGGACTTTTGATTGCCATTAGTTCTTCACTAGCCTTTATCAACTGTTATAGTCTCATTAATATTAATCTACATTCTATGTTCATTAATTACTAATGTTATTCTAAACAAAATTGTCTACTACTCTAAAGAACATACTTTTGAGTTGTTACTCATCTTTATAACATTGATTAAATCTGTACGCAGCACTTCCATTTGGAACAGTCCTATTCTGTAATATAAAATACAAGTCAAAGATTATAATGGGGAGTAATCATCAAGTAGTGTAACCGCAACAGCTTCTTGTGGTAGCGAGCTCGCCTGGAGTACGGGAGGTCTTGGATTCCAACCCTAAACGGGTCAAACTAAAGACTTTAATGTTGTCTTTAACCTAACTGCATATTTTGCTTCACCAAGGCAGACACTTATTTGTTTTTGTTAATTAAACATTCATTTGTATTTTTGGAGAAAGGTTATTGTGTAATATTGTGTTTTTTAAATTGTTTATGTATTTCCATTTTTGAAGGAGTTGTTTGTTGTGTAATTTTTGGCTTTTTAGTGTTTGTGTATTTACTCTCCGGGAGTAGTTGGTTGTTGTGTAATATTTTGGTTTTTTAGTGTTCATGTATTTACTTTCTGGGAGGAGTTGGTTTTGTAATATTTTGGTTTTTTAGTGTTCAGGTATTTACTTTCAGGGAGGAGTTGGTTGTGTAATATTTTGGCATTTTTGTGTTCATGTATTTACTTTCTGAGAGGAGTTGGTTGTGTAATATTTTGGCATTTTTGTGTTCATGTATTTACTTTCTGAGAGGAGTTGGTTGTGTAATATTTTGGCATTTTTGTGTTCATGTATTTACTTTCTGGGTGGAGTTGGTTGTGTAATATTTTGGCATTTTTGTGTATGTATTTACTTTCTGAGAGGAGTTGGTTGTGTAATATTTTGGCATTTTTGTGTTCATGTATTTACTTCCTGAGAGGAGTTGGTTGTGTAATATTTTGGCATTTTTGTGTTCATGTATTTACTTTCTGAGAGGAGTTGGTTGTGTAATATTTTGGCATTTTTGTGTTCATGTATTTACTTTCTGGGAGGAGTTTGTTGTGTAATATTTCGGCATTTTTGTGTTCATGTATTTACTTTCTGAGAGGAGTTGGTTGTGTAATATTTTGGCTTTTTTGTGTTCCTGTATTTACTTTCTGGGAGGAGTTGGTTGTGTTATATTTTGGCATTTTTGTGTTCATGTATTTACTTTCTGGGAGGAGTTTGTTGTGTAATATTTCGGCATTTTTGTGTTCATGTATTTACTTTCTGAGAGGAGTTGGTTGTGTAATATTTTGGCTTTTTTGTGTTCCTGTATTTACTTTCTGGGAGGAGTTGGTTGTGTAATATTTTGGCATTTTTGTGTTCATTTTTATTGTTGGGTATTTGTTTGTCAGGAGATTTGAGGAGTTGGACGTTTTTTTTTATTGTTTGGGTATTTGTTTGTCAGAAGATTTGAGGAGTCGGATGTTTTTATTATTGTTTGGGTATTTGTTTGTCAGAAGATCTGAGGAGTTGGATGTTTTTTTTTATTGTTTGGATATTAGTTTGTCAGAAGATTTGAGGAGTTGGATGTTTTTTTATTGTTGGGGTATTTGTTTGTCAGAAGATTTGAGGAGTTGGATGTTTTTTTTATTGTTTTGGTATTTGTTTGTCAGAAGATTTGAGGAGTTGAATTTTTTTTTTTATTGTTTGGGGATTTGTTTGTCAGAAGATTGAAGAAGTTGGATGGGTTTTTTTTATTGTTGGGTATTTGTTTGTCAGAAGTGTTGAGGAGTTGGATGTTTTTTTTTTTATTGTTTGGGGATTTGTTTATCAGAAGAGTTGAGGAGTTGGATGGTTTTTTTTTATTGTTTGGGGATTTGTTTATCAGAAGTTTTAAGAAGTTGGATGGGGTTTTTTTTATTGTTTGGGTATTTGTTTGTCCGAAGTTTTAAGAAGTTGGATGGTTTTTTTATTGTTTGGGTATTTGTTTGTCAGAAGATTTGAGTAGTTGGATGGTTTTTTTTATTGTTTGGTTATTTGTTTGTCAGAAGATTTGAGGAGTTTGATGTTTTTTTTATTGTTTGGTTATTTGTTTGTCAGAAGATTTGAGGAGTTGGATGTTTTTTTATTGTTTGGGTATTTGTTTGTCAGAAGAGTTGAGGAGTTGGATGTTTTTTTTATTGTTTGGTTATTTGTTTGTCAGAAGATTTGAGGAGTTGGATGTTTTTTTATTGTTTGGGTATTTGTTTGTCAGAAGAGTTGAGGAGTTGGATGTTTTTTTTATTGTTTGGTTATTTGTTTGTCAGAAGATTTGAGGAGTTGGATGGGTTTTTTTTTTATTGTTTGGTTATTTGTTTGTCAGAAGATTTGAGGAGTTGGATGCTTTTTTTTTATTGTTTGGGTATTTGTTTGTCAGAAGATTTGAGGAGTTGGATGGATTTTTTTATTGTTTGGGTATTTGTTTGTCAGAAGTTTTAAGGAGTTCAATGGTTTTTTTTATTGTTTGGGTATTTGTTTGTCAGAAGAATTGAGGAGTTGGATGGGTTTTTTTTTAATGTTTGGGTATTTGTTTGTCAGAAGAGTTGAGGAGTTGGGTGTTTTTTTTTATTGTTTGGGTATTTGTTTGTCAGAAGAGTTGAAGAGTTGGATGTTTTTTTTTCATTGTTTGTGTATTCGTTTGTCAGAAGATTTGAGGAGTTGGATGGTTTTTTTTATTGTTTGGGTATTTGTTTGTCAGAAGAGTTGAGGAGTTGGATGTTTTTTTTTATTGTTTGGGTATTTGTTTGTCAGAAGATTTGAGGAGTTGGATGGGTTTTTTTTTATTGTTTGGGTATTTGTTTGTCAGAAGTTTTGAGGAGTTGGATATTTTTTTTATTGTTTGTTATTTGTTTGTCAGAAGATTTGAGGAGTTGGATGTTTTTTTATTGTTTGGGTATTTGTTTGTCAGAAGATTTGAGGAGTTGGATGGTTTTTTTTTCCCTGATAAGGATAAGATACACAAATATTTCCTGTTCTTTTAAATTTTCTTTACCATGATTAGGACAAGATACACATATATTTGCTGTTTTGAAAGCTTTTTTTGCTGCAAGAACAGTAAATATGTCTATAATGTCCCACATTCACTGTCAGCAAACCACAAATGACATAATATGTTGTGTGGTGGGGCTAGTTTATTGTATCAGGTTTTTACAGATTTGATACAGTAAAAATTGTTTAAACCAATAACCTAATGGACCAATAATTTTGTTAACATTAGACAGGCCTACAATTTGTAAAGTTAAAATTATTTATGACTATTCACAGTATAGGAATTAAAGGAGATTTGGTGTATGTGTCAATCGTAGTCCAACAAAGCAAACAAAATATAAAATAAACATCTCAAGGTCAACAAATGTCCAAATACAAGAGTCAAAAATTTAAGACAAGTTGCAGTATATTATTGATTCTTGCCAATTTTTTTTGTAATGTTTCATTGTATCACAAATTATTTCAAATTACACTAATGTCTGTTGTATACACGTCGAATATAAAATAAATAAATACCTTGGTACAACATCTTTACCCACAACAACAGAAGTTATGAATGATTTGGTCTGCTCTACACAACTTTCACTGAAATATACAAAACTTATGTCATTAAACTTTTGCAAGTGTTCTAGCATCTTTGATGCATTCCTGCCTACTTTTAATAAAATGCTCCGCAGGGCGCAGCTTGATACGACCGCAGAGGTCGAACCCTGAACAGTTGGGGCAAGTATGGACACAACATTCAAGCTTGATACAGCTCTGAATTTGGATTGTGATTAAATATTTGACACAGCATAGGTTTCTGACACAGAATGAATGTGGTCTAAGAACTTAAAAATTGTAAATTGGACATTCACCTATTATGGTCCAATATCCAAAATCTAAATACATGGTAAGATTCAGCATATCAAAGAACCCCAAGAATTCAATTTTTGATGAAATCAAACAATGTTTAATTTTGGACCCCGATTTGGACCAACTTGAAAACTGGGCCCATAATCAAAAATCTAAATACATGTTTAGATTCAGCATATCAAAGAACCCTAAAAATTCAATTTTTGTTAAAATCAAACTAAGTTTAATTTTGGACCCTTTGGACCTTAATGTAGACCAATTTGAAAACGGAACCAAAAATTAAGAATCTAAATACACGGTTAGATTCGGCATATCAAAGAACCCCAATAATTCAATTTTTGATGAAATCAAACAAAGTTAAATTTTGGACCCTTTTGACCTCAATGTGGACAAAGTTGATAACGGGGCCCAAAAATCAAAAATCTAAATACATGGTTAGATTCAGCATATCAAAGAACCCCATATATTCAATTTTTGTTGAAATCAAACAAAGTTTAATTTTGGACCCCGATTTGGACCAACTTGAAAACTGGGCCCATAATCAAAAATCTAAATACATGTTTAGATTCAGCATATCAAAGAACCCTAAAAATTCAATTTTTGTTAAAATCAAACTAAGTTTAATTTTGGACCCTTTGGACCTTAATGTAGACCAATTTGAAAACGGAACCAAAAATTAAGAATCTAAATACACGGTTAGATTCGGCATATCAAAGAACCCCAATAATTCAATTTTTGATGAAATCAAACAAAGTTAAATTTTGGACCCTTTTGACCTCAATGTGGACAAAGTTGATAACGGGGCCCAAAAATCAAAAATCTAAATACATGGTTAGATTCAGCATATCAAAGAACCCCATATATTCAATTTTTGTTGAAATCAAACAAAGTTTAATTTTGGACCCCGATTTGGACCAACTTGAAAACTGGGCCCATAATCAAAAATCTAAATACATGTTTAGATTCAGCATATCAAAGAACCCTAAAAATTCAATTTTTGTTAAAATCAAACTAAGTTTAATTATGGACCCTTTGGACCTTAATGTAGACCAATTTGAAAACGGAACCAAAAATTAAGAATCTAAATACACGGTTAGATTCAGCATATCAAAGAACCCCAATAATTCAATTTTTGATGAAATCAAACAAAGTTAAATTTTGGACCCTTTGGACCTCAATGTGGACCAATTTAAAAACGGGGCCCAAAATCCAAAAACTTCATACACGGTTAGATTCAGCATATTAAAGAACCCCAAGAATTCAAGAATAAAACCCCATTGAAATTGATCAAGAAATAAGCAATTTATACGAAGTATCTTCTTTTGCACAATACTGTGCAATTGAATATTTCTTGCTATTGCGCAATACTGTACAATTGACAATTTCTTGCTATTGCGCAATATTGTGCTATTGGATATTTCTTGCTATTGCGCAATACTGTGCAATTGAAGATTTCTTGCTATTGCACAATACTGTGCAATTGAAGATTTCTTGCTATTGTGCAATACTGTGCAATTGAAAATTTCTTGCTATTGCACAATACTTATTAGATAATAATTTACACATCCTGTTTGGTGTGTATCTCCTACCATATCATTATTATTTGCTTTTAAATATTAATCAGAAATAACCAACTTAAAATGGAAAATTTTAAAAGAAAAAAAAAAGGAAAAAAAGAAAAAAAAAGAAAACCCCCCCCCCCCCCCAAATTTTTTGAACCCCCTTATGATTCATCACCCCCAAACTCAATCCCAGCCTTCCCTTTGTGGTATGGTACCTTGCAGTACAATTTCAGAGAGATCCATACACTTGAACACAAGTTATTGTCTGGAAACTAGAAAAATGCTTATTTTTGGCCCCTTTTTGGCCCCCAATTCCTAAACGTTTCGGGCAATTACCCCCAAACTCAATTCCAGCTTTCCCTTTGTGACATGGAACCTTGTAGTACAATTTCAGAAATATCCAAACACTTACACACAAGTTATTGTCATGAAACTAGAAAAATGCTTGTTTTTTGCCCCTTTTTTGGCCCCTAATTCCTAAAATTTTGAGGCAATTACCCCCAAAATCAATTACAGCCTTTCCTTTGTGATATGGAACCTTGTGGTACAATGTCAGAGAGATCCATACACTTACACACAAGTTATTGTCTGGAAGTTACAAAAATGCTTATTTTTGGCCCCTTTTTGGCCCCTAATTCCTTAACTGTTGGTACCATAACCCCCAAAATCAATCCCAACCTTCCTTTCGTGGTATTGAACCTTATGGTAAAATTTCATGGAGATCCATTCACTTAAACTAAAGTTAGAGTGCGAAAACCAATGTGTCTTCGGACGACGCCGGACGACGCCAGACGACGACGACGACGACGACGACGACGACGGACGACGACGACGCCAACGTCATACCAATATACGACCAAAAAAATTTTAATTTTTGCAGTCGTATAAAAATCTCCATGGGGACTATAGTGTGTGACCACATTTTATAAGTATACAATTTTAGCAGCGTTTTTATGTGCATGTACTGACTCTTGATGACCTTGTCAATATTTGAATGTTTCATTATCAAACAGAAAATGTGATAATTATAAGCTTTGCTTTGTCAGATAGGCTCTATACAAATGTAAAATTAGCATTTTTACTTCAGAATTTTTACTTCAGAATTCATTACATACTTATTTTAAAACGGTAACTCAGATAAACACCTGACTGACAATGTCCAATCATATGATTGATTTATAATTAAAGTGATGTGACCCAGCCAATCTCACTAGACGTAAGAATAACAATGTTATCCAGGATATTCCTGTTGTAGCAGTATGGCTGTTAACCTCACATGACATGAAGAAACCTTAGGAGGCCCCAGGAGGAGAGTAAGCATAGCAATACTGTTGTTATAATTACATTCGTTTATTTGTAAATGACATGTACAAACCTTAGGAGGCCCCCAGGAAGGGAGTAAGCATAGCAATGTAATCCAGGATATATACTGTTGTTATAATTACATTGGTGTATTTGTAAATGACATGTACAAACCTTAGGAGGCCCCACAAGAGGGGAGTAAGCATAGCAATGTAATCCAGGATATATACTGTTGTTATAATTACATTGGTGTATTTGTAAATGACATGTACAAACCTAAGGAGGCCCCCAAGAGGGGAGTAAGCATAGCAATGTAATCCAAGATATATACTGTTGTTATAATTACATTGGTTTATTTGTAAATGACATGTACAAACCTTAGGAGGCCCCAGGAGGGGAGTAAGCAAAGCAATGTAATCCAAGATATATACTGTTGTTATAATTACATTGGTTTATTTGTAAATGATATGTACAAACCTTAGGAGGCCCCCAGGAGGGGAGTAAGCATAACAATGTAATCCAGGATATTCCTGCTGCAGTAGTATGGCTAGTATTGCTGCTGTTCCTGCACCTAAAGAATGTCCTACTAATACAAGATCATACCTCTGTGCTCCAATCTCCTGGAAAATAAATGTCTACAAATATAACAAACAAGATGCACACATGTACTTGAATTGCTCACTTGATGAAAATTAGGAAGTCTGCTAATGATGACTTTTATATGCACATACTAGTTATTCTTTGTGTTGATGCTAATTTTTTTGCAATTTACATGTCTAAATGTAGCTCCTGTACATATTTAGTTTTGAGATAACAGACAAACTACAAAAAACAGCAAATTGTTTTCCAGTAATGTATATTCGTATTTTCAATTCATTAGTTTTCATTCCGTCTGATTGTTTATCATCCTTTTACCTAAAAGATTTAATGTGAATAGTTATATATGTTCACTTTCTAATCCTACTGGCACTCTAAAATAAACCATAATTACACCAAATAAACATGTAAAGAAGTCTATATAAAAACTAGGTAAAAGTTATAGCTACAAGTTTATTCTTACAGAACACTTTCCAAACGCCTGTGATAAAACCATATCTTCTTTTATTTTCTTCTTAATGTAAACAGCTGCATGAACCATGCCCTTAAGAAAAAGAAAAAAAAATGTTAAATCAAGTTGAACATATAGGTTGTTTTGATGCTGTCATATCATTTGCCATTACTCACTCAGCCTTCATATTTTAACTTGTCAAGATTGTTACCAGTATCTAGCTATGGTGCACATGGAAGACAAAATGGTTAACTGGCCTAACTGGAGCTAGGGAAGTCTTTAACAGTGAGGTGTAAGTTTTTATTCTGTGTTGAAGCCCTTGCTGTGACTTTGAGATAAAGAACACCAATATATAAATATGTGATTTCCTTTGGTTTTAGTTTTTAAAACTCTATGAAGTAATTTTGTGAAAGGAATTAATACATAATGCCCCTTCATTTACATTATAACCTTTGATTAGCAAAATCTGACTAAGCCTTTTACATCTGAACTTTAGTTTCAGTGCATATTTATGGCTGGAACATATGTGGTTACCTCTGACATGTTTTCTCACCAATCTTTAAAATCTTACCTTTAGTTTCAGTGCCAGAACACATGTGGTTACCTCCGATATGTCTTTTCTCACCAATCTTTAAAAAATCTTACCTTTAGTTTCAGTGCCAGAACCCATGTGGTAACCTCCGATATGTCTTTTCTAACCAATCTTTAAAATCTTACCTTTAGTTTCAGTGCCAGAACCCATGAGGTTACCTCTGCTTTGTCATTTCTCACCAAGCTTTAACATCTTACTTTTAGTTTCAGAAAACATGTGATTAACTCTAGGTTTAATTTTTGTTGTTGATGTGTCTTGTGGGTGTGACATTTCTGCTTGTTGTGTTGTGTTGTTGTTGTTTTCTGTTCATGTATCAATCCTTTAAGATAAAGTGTTCATTTTTTTTTCAAAAATTTTATCACATCCCGAAACTACATCCTTTTAGTCTCTTAATCATGCTATTGTCTGAAAAGTATATTATGTTGCAGTATCATCTTTTTGTTTTCTTCACTCAATCAAGTGAACTTGGTGCCATGATTGACTGAAAGCTATCTATTTTTACTTAACATTAAACACTTGCCTTATGTCCAACCCAGTCATCTTTTACATGGTCCAATGGTAGAATATCAGCATCAACACTTACCTTTTGTCCAACCCAGTCATCTTTTACAGGATCTAATGGTAGAATCTCAGCATGAGACACTTACCTTATGTCCAACCCAGTCATCTTTTACAGGGTCCAATGGTAGAATCTCAGCATCAACACTTACCTTTTGTCCAACCCAGTCATCTTTTACAGGATCTAATGGTAGAATGTCAGCACCAACACTTACCTTATGTCCAACCCAGTCATCTTTTACAGGGTCCAATGGTAGAATCTCAGCATGAGACACTTACCTTATGTCCAACCCAGTCCTCTTTTACAGGGTCTAAAGGTAGAATCTCAGCATCAACACTTACCTTATGTCCAACCCAGTCATCTTTTACAGGGTCCAATGGTAGAATCTCAGCATGAGACTCTTACCTTATTTCCAACCCAGTCATCTTTTACAGGGAGGGTCTAATGGTAGAATCTCAGCATCAACACTTACCTTATGTCCAACCCAGTCATCTTTTACAGGGTCTAATTTTAGAATCTCAGCATGAGACACTTACCTTATGTCCAACCCAGTCATCTTTTACAGGATCTAATGGTAGAATCTCAGCATGAGACACTTACCTTATGTCCAACCCAGTCATCTTTTACAGGATCTAATGGTAGAATCTCAGCATGAGACACTTACCTTATGTCCAACCCAGTCCTCTTTTACAGGGTCTAAAGGTAAAATCTCAGCATCAACACTTACCTTATGTTCAACCCAGTCATCTTTTACAGGGTCCAATGGTAGAATCTCAGCATGAGACACTTACCTTATGTCCAACCCAGTCATCTTTTACAGGATCTAATGGTAGAATCTCAGCATGAGACACTTACCTTATGTCCAACCCAGTCCTCTTTTACAGGGTCTAAAGGTAGAATCTCAGCATCAACACTTACCTTATGTTCAACCCAGTCATCTTTTACAGGGTCCAATGGTAGAATCTCAGCATGAGACACTTACCTTATGTCCAACCCAGTCATCTTTTACAGGGAGGGTCTAATGGTAGAATCTCAGCACCAACACTTACCTTATGTCCAACCCAGTCATCTTTTACAGGGTCCAATGATAGAATCTCAGCATGAGACACTTACCTTATGTCCAACCCAGTCATCTTTTACAGGATCTAATGGTAGAATCTCAGCAACAACACTAACTTTATGTTCAACCCAGTCATCTTTTACAGGGTCCAATGGTAGAATCTCAGCATGAGACACTTACCTTATGTCCAACCCAGTCATCTTTTACAGGGTCCAATGGTAGAATCTCAGCATCAACACTTACTTTATGTCCAACCCAGTCATCTTTTACAGGGTATAATGGTTGAATCTCAGCATGAGACACTTACTTTATGTCCAACCCAGTCATCTTTTACAGGATCTAATGGTAGAATCTCAGCACCAACACTTACCTTATGTCCAACCCAGTCATCTTTTACAGGGTCCAATGGTAGAATCTCAGCATGAGACACTTACCTTATGTCCAACCCAGTCCTCTTTTACAATGTCTAAAGGTAGAATCTCAGCATCAACACTTACTTTATGTCCAACCCAGTCATCTTTTACAGGGTCTAATGGTAGAATCTCGGCACCAACACTAACTTTATGTCCAATCCAGTCATCTTTTACAGGGTCCAATGGTAGAATCTCAGCATGAGACACTTACCTTATGTCCAACCCAGTCATCTTTTACAGGATCTAATGGTAGAATCTCAGCACCAACACTTACCTCATGTCCAACCCAGTCATCTTTTACAGGGTCCAATGGTAGAATCTCAGCATGAGACACTTACCTTATGTCCAACCCAGTCAGCTTTTCCAGGGTCTAATGGTAGAATCTCAGCATGAGACACTTACCTTATGTCCAACCCAGTCATCTTTTACAGGATCTAATGGTAGAATCTCAGAACCAACACTTACCTTATGTCCAACCCAGTCATCTTTTACAGGGTCCAATGGTAGAATCTCAGCATGAGACACTTACCTTATGTCCAGCCCAGTCAGCTTTTACAGGGTCTAATGGTAGAATCTCAGCATGAGACACTTACCTTATGTCCAACCCAGTCATCTTTTACAGGATCTAATGGTAGAATCTCAGCATGAGACACTTACCTTATGTCCAACCCAGTCATCTTTTACAGGATCTAATGGTAGAATCTCAGCATGAGACACTTACCTTATGTCCAACCCAGTCCTCTTTTACAGGGTCTAAAGGTAGAATCTCAGCATCAACACTTACCTTATGTCCAACCCAGTCATCTTTTACAGGGTCTAATGGTAGAATCTCAGCACCAACACTTACTTTATGTCCAACCCAGTCATCTTTTACAGGGTCCAATGGTAGAATCTCAGCATGAGACACTTACCTTATGTCCAACCCAGTCCTCTTTTACAGGGTCTAAAGGTAGAATCTCAGCATCAACACTTACCTTATGTCCAACCCAGTCATCTTTTACAGGGTCCAATGGTAGAATCTCAGCACCAACACTTACCTTATGTCCAACCCAGTCATCTTTTACAGGATCTAATGGTAGAATCTCAGCATCAACACTTACCTTATGTCCAACTTAGTCATCTTTTACAGGGTCTAATGGTAGAATCTCAGCATGAGACACTTACCTTATGTCCAACCCAGTCATCTTTTGCAGGATCTAATGGTAGAATCTCAGCACCAACACTTACCTTATGTCCAACACAGTCATCTTTTACAGGGTCCAATGGTAGAATCTCAGCATGAGACACTTACCTTATGTCCAACCCAGTCCTCTTTTACAGGGTCTAAAGGTAGAATCTCAGCATCAACACTTACCTTATGTCCAACCCAGTCATCTTTTACAGGGTCTAATGGTAGAATCTCAGCACCAACACTTACTTTATGTCCAACCCAGTCATCTTTTACAGGGTCCAATGGTAGAATCTCAGCATGAGACACTTACCTTATGTCCAACCCAGTCATCTTTTACAGGGTCTAATGGTAGAATCTCAGCACCAACACTTACTTTATGTTCAACCCAGTCATCTTTTACAGGGTCCAATGGTAGAATCTCAGCATGAGACACTTACCTTATGTCCAACCCAGTCATCTTTTACAGGGTCTAATGGTAGAATCTCAGCATGAGACACTTACCTTATGTCCAACCCAGTCATCTTTTACAGGGTCTAATGGTAGAATCTCAGCATGAGACACTTACCTTATGTCCAATCCAGTCATCTTTTACAGGGTCTAATGGTAGAATCTCAGCATCAGCCTTTAAATCTGTCAACACATCCTAAAACATCAGACTTATATCAGGTTCCATGTCAGTAATATCAGATGCAAGTTACAATATAAACTTTCTTTGGCAAATGTTACGAGTGGTACAAACATGCAGAGAGGATTTATAAACTGAAATTTCTGTCTGTAAGACTTTTTATGTCTTATGTCTTTATACTGTATCATTGAAGTATAGCATTATGTGCATGAAGAGCACTGAAAATAAACTGATTTAATGTTATACTTAATGGTTAGCTATATTCTCTAGATATTGCATGGAAGTCAAAGTTAGCTGCAGAAAGTCAATGAACAATTTTCTATTCAATTTTGTCCATAACTTGTATTTGTCAGCCAGCTGATAACCAAAACCTGTATAATTTCACTTACAACATTATGGTGGCTTACTAGAATTTACATGTTAATTTTATCCTGGCATAAGTTAAGGGTAAAATCTTCATAACTTAAGATATGATATGAAAGCTTCAACCCTCAATCTTATAGTTATTTTCACTTTGTTTACTTTTATGGTCCCTACATGAATAAAAAGTATTAGGTAAAACGGGTTCCCATCTTTACAATGCTAAATACAAGGTTGAGAAAACTTACCCACCGTATGGGAGAAGACACCAGATATTGGAACTAGCTGAAGAGGAGAGAGGTAATAAAATTTTGTAGTCGCAGGTAAGACAATTCCAATTTGTTATGCATTTGAAATTATTGAACAATTTTAAAGATTTGTTTGATGATTTGTTAGCAATTTAAAATTTGTTGTCCAAATCATTTAGGAATGTTAGACAACAGCATAAATTAAATCTGGAGAAAAAAAACTACCGTCTAGAACCAGAAAAAAGAGGCACCAAATACTTCAGATCAAGAAAAGTACCCGGTTTAGAGCCTCTAAAGATGAATTTCTTCCTGTTATCAAGTTATGACCCACTTCAAATACACAAGACCATAATTTTCATAAATTGCCTTAAAATTTGGTAAATCACAAAGACAGAGTTTTGATAGTATACAGCAACTTATGTATTGATGTGTACTGCAGCTTGCATTTTACACCCTCTCTCTGCTTCATCTAGTACCAATCCTGTCTCGCTCCCATATGGTGTCACCTGCAATGATAGATAACCCCCATACAGAAAACTTACCTGCAATGATAGAGTCCCTCTGATACAGATAATAACTTTCTTGTGTTTGTGGTCCAAAGCCACATAAAATGGTGTTTCACCAATCTAAATATAACAAATATAAATTATATCAGATAAAAGATGTCCCTCTCTCATTTTTCATTTTTCTAGAAAACCTCTCTCTCCTTGAATTTGTAAAATTATTTTTGTAATCAATTTGATGTATTTTTCATTTGTTTTGTTCTTTCAAGATGGTTATATATACAACAATAGTTTGTATTTCAGTATAACTTTTATATATGTAATAAAGTCCAAAATACTACTGAATGATTGTATTGGTTGAGTGTGGAAATTTGAAAGTTCAATTAAGGTAGACCTTCTCATCCAAAAATAGACAGCATGTTTAATAATGGACAAATTTAATATTTACTAAAACAATTATTGCCTGTGTTTGGTCTGAATTTGGTACCTAAATATATTATTTAATCTTTGTCTGCAGGGAAAAACCAAGACAATATAAGGAAGAAAGGTCATGATTTGAAATCCTTTGTGAAAAATACAACAATTTTTAGGCCCAAATCTTTTGAATGGCCTAAATATTTATGATGATATGACTGTTCTTAGATTAAAGTGATGAAGAGCTTATTGCTCTTGATTTGATTGCAACTGTTGAAGTGACCTTAGGAGAGATCAACCTGAGAATTCGTTCTGATTCAATATTGATCATTAAATTCTCTGACACATATTGTTTGCATTCAACAGCATAGACTTTAATGTTCACAGTCTTTGGTATCTTTGTGAACTGATGATTTTGATAAAAAAATATTATTTAATGAAATTCATAATTGTACTGTTTATGATTTAATAAGTTTCAGTGATGTTTAGTTGCTAAATTTGGTCTCTGGTAGAAAGTATTCGCATAGCCAATTATACCATATCACAGTAATTTTTATAAAAGGTTTATGGACAGATAATTTATATGCTATTGAAAGGGGGAGAAATGATATGGCCACTTTGTAGGCCCCTGTCTTCAAATATCAAAAAGTATTATAAATATATGAAATAATACACTACAGATCTTCATAAGTCTGTCAGATAACAATACTTTCTCTATTTTGTCAGACATATTTTCTTTATGGCTTCAAACTTCTTGCATTTAAACCAAATCAGTAAAATCTTCCAAAATAGTCCCAGATTGAGATCTTGTAATTAACATGTAGATATGAGCCAAACCTTACCCAAAAACATGTTTTGCTACAAGTTGTTTATACACAAAGATTAATGTGGTAAATATCTTTTATCTTTAAATTTTTTGAATGGCCTTGTTTTATATATAAATTGAGTAAATTGGACATTGTAGGTCAAATAGTCATTTTCCACATGTTTATAACATCACAAATGACATTTCTGCACTTCAGTGATTAGATCATATTATCCCATTAATTTCTCAATTTTTAAAATCTTTAATAATATTAATGTTTGGCAATTTGAGGATTATGACCTCTTATACCTCCCCCTTTTGTTACTATATTAATATTTTAAAGAAGAAATGTCTACATACGTCAACATGGTAAGTCACATAAACCAAGTCAGCTTGTTTCAGTCCACTCAGATGTAACAATGCAGCAAAATTACACTGGCAACAATTATCATCAATTAATTCTACTCCCTTAGGGTGCCTCAATCCACAACAGGAACAACAACATCTGAAACAATAATCATTAATTAATTCTACTCCCTTAGGGTGCCTCAATTCACAACAGAAACAACAACATATCAATTAATTCTACTCCCTTAGGTTGCCTCAATCCACAACAGGAACAACAACATCTGAAACAATAATCATTAATTAATTCTACTCCCTTAGGGTGCCTCAATCCACAACAGAAACAACAACATATCAATTAATTCTACTCCCATAGGGTGCCTCAATCCACAACAGGAACAACGACATCTGAAATGCAATCAGCAGCACTGTGTACTATGAAACAAAACAATGATAGCAATTTTTCATGGCATTATTTGAAAATGTAAATATCAATATTCATTTAATTCTGTTCCTTTCTGACGATGAACTACAACTGAAACGTTGTCATCAACTTGTTTAAAAAAATCTTCTTTTAGGTGAGTCATTATGACAACATATGAAATCTATTTTCTTTTTTTTGGGGGGGGGGGGGGGGGGGGGGGGGGAAATTTAATCAATGCCATTTTTTTATTTTGCTTTTATTACTGAGACAATGTCTGATCACAAGATGCTATCATACTGATACAAAAATCTTACTTACTAGTAATAGAAAAAACCTACATATTTCAAATTGCGGATTTTACACGCATATTAAAGTTTTATTATGCAAACACATATTTATAACAAATATACATGTTCTGATTATCAAATTTATCCAATATTTTCCATCAAATACCAAACCGACAGACAAGTAAAATATAATTGCTTTGGGAACAATTCTTACAAATGTCAACTACAGATGACTGATATAGGAGCAAACAGAATATGACATGTCAACTCCAGATAACTCTCTCTCTAAGGACACAAAGTTTTTACACTTGCTAAACTATGATTGATTCCCAGAGAATACAAAGAGAATTTTCGTTATTTGTTGAGTCAGTTTCTGTTAGTTTATCAATAGATTTAAAGAGATTTTTGTTATTTGTAGAGTCAGTTTCTGTTTGTTTATCAATAGATTTAAAGTGATTTTTTTTTTTGTCCAGTAATTTTCAGTTAGTTTTGCAATAGATTTAAAGCATTTTTTTGTTAATTTTCCAGTATTTTCTGTTACTTTTTCAATAGATTTAAAGCGATTTTTTGTTAATTGTCCAGTCAGTTTCTGTTCGTTTATCAATAGATTTAAAGCGATTTTTTGTTATTTGTCCAGTAATTTTCCATTAGTTTTTCAATAAATTTAAAGCGTTTTTTTGTTAATTTTCCAGTATTTTCTGTTATTTTTTCAATAGATTTAAAGCAATTTTGTTGTTAATTGTCCAGTATTTTTCTGTTAGTTTATCAATAGATTTAAAGTGATTTTTTGTTATTTGTCGAGTCAGTTTCTGTTAGTTTATCAATAGATTTAAAGTGATTTTTTTGTTAATTGTCCAGTAAGTTTCTGTTAGTTTATCCATACATTTAAAGAAATTTTTGTCATTTGTGGAGTCATTTTCTTTTAGTTTTCCAATAGATTTATAACCAGAATAATTCAATCCATCCCCGTGATCTACTCTCCCACTCACTTAATACAATAAAAATACGTCTTTAATTGAGGATTTTGATTGGGGCTCTCTAGATGGGATCAATATACCATTATTTATACATCAGAACATACTGGTTACCAAAATTTGGATACACCAAACCAGGTACTTCATATCTGAGAAACCGGCAATAGATGCCCTCAAATTTAGAATTCATTCATACATTTTTGTATTATTTAAAATTATCAGTCAATATGTGTTCTACAAAGATCATCAGTCCTTCACCTTTCATCCAATACCTTAATCACTAAAATATATTATACATAGTTTTATATTTACACCTATGCATAGGAACTATTTTGTTTTAAATCTATACTACTTTCCAGTATGTTCTTTTTTGACTGGGCCTGATTTGGTGGTGTCACATCTTACAAAGTCTATCCAAATTATTTTTGCAAAGAATTCCCCTCAAGCCTTAAACATGCAGTGAGGTGAGAGTTTTTTGCTCCGTGTTGAGGTCTCACTGTGACTTTGAGATGAAGAACAGCAATAAAAGCGATATAATTCCTTTGCTTCTTGTGTGTTTTTTTGCTATGCATGTACTGATTTTGTGTCATGGATGGATACCCCATATACTTTGTTTTTCTATTATCTAAGTTTAATTTCTTCGTAGACAATTTAGTAAAAATTTTGAAAAAAAATTCATGATAGCACACATGCAAAGTTAGCATAAACTATTCTGTTAATAATCTTTTCAAAAATCATATCTGTCAAAACCTATATTACTAACATTTTTTTTGCTCAAAATTCAAATGTCTTTACACATAATGGCATATACAAGTAAATAGTTTTAACTTTGGTCCTTTGAGATCTAGAGTTACTTCATGTAAATAAATCATCATTGCTTAGCATTCATAAAGGTCAATAGAAGAAAAAGTTAGATGTTATGAGACAATTATGAATACATCATAAATAAGACAGAAATCAATATCATTCACAAGAATATTTTTATTAACTTTCATTTACTTCAAAAAATGTCTGGTAAGGATTATGACATCTTGTCTCATGTTATTATGATGGATACACATATTTTCTTTATATTTTTTTTTTTAAAGACATGTAAATTGATGTGCTTCAAATTTCAGCAAGTATTTATAATATTGTTTATTTTTATAAGATTTTACAGTTTGCACTTTGCTGACATACCTAGAAATCATTTTTATATAAGAATCATATGATTTTGGAGTACTATAATTTTTAGGCTAAATAGTCCTTCTTTAATTTTTTTCCTAAAATTTTAATGAATATAACACTTCTGAAATGTTTTACACAGACCACACCCAGTGTTTGTCATCATGCAGACTGGCCATCTATATTCTGCCAGTGCAAACCTCATGTAATGGATGACCTTGTGATCCTTAATGACCTTCATATTTACCTTAATTGTGGTGTTATTTTACACAGATCACACCAAGTGTTTGTCATCATGAAAACTAGCCATCCATATGCTGCCAGTGCAAACCTCATGTAATGAATGACCTTGTGATCCTTAATGACCTTGATATTTACCTTAATTGTGGTGTTATTTTACACAGATCACACCCAGTGTTTGTCATCATGAAAACTGGCCATCCATATGCTGCAAGTGCAAACCTCATGTAATGAATGACCTTGTGATCCTTAATGACCTTGATATTTACCTTAATTGTGGTGTTATTTTACATAGACCACACCCAGTGCTTGTCATCATGAAAACTAGCCATCCATATGCTGCCAGTGCAAACCTCATGTAATGGATGACCTTGTGATCCTTTATGACCTTTTTATTTACCTTAATTGTGGTGTTATTTTACAGACCACACCCAGCGTTTGTCATCATGAAAACTAGCCATCCATATGCTGCCAGTGCAAACCTCATGTAATGGATGACCCTGTGATCCTTAATGACCTTGATATTTACCTTAATTGTGGTGTTATTTTACACAGACCACACCCAGTGTTTGTCATCATGAAGACTGGCCATCCATATGCTGCCAGTGCAAACCTCATGTAATGGATGACCTTGTTGTACTCATCCATGACATCTGGGTGACTCAGTTGTAGGAATTCAGTTTTAGGTACAATAGGGACTCCAGATAAATACTGGTATACATCATTCTCTGACTAAAATAGAAAATATTACTGTATCTAAAATATGTACACAATTCTCAAAATTTCTTGTTTCTTACTCGGCAATAGAATGCAGCATCTTCTTTTTAGGCTCATTATCTAGGTTTATTAACCTAGCGAAAATCTATGAATGTACAAAAAAGAAAAATGTTCAAGTGTGATGATAAGAGGTCAAGCCTGGATAAACAGAAACTAGAGGCTCGTCTTGATAAATGTGTATCTTGAACTATGGCCACTCTCTGACATTGTAGTCAAGAATATAATTCATGACTAAAATCTTCTTTTATTTATCCTGTCTCGCTGATCATTATTACTCTTTACAGTTTTTCTTAATTCACCAAAGTTTCACAAAAAAAAATCAAAAATAGGTAAAATGAATCTTTAAAGGGCAATACCTTGTATAAAGTGTTGATTTTGGCCATCTTAACATATTTGTAGATCTTGTCATGCTTATCATTTTGCCTTTTTAAAGTCTTTATCTATATTATAGTTTTCAAGATAATAGGTGAAAACCCCAAAAATTGGTAAAAACTATTTTTAAACAGCAATAACTTCTATAAGGAGTTGTCTGACAATTTCGGCCATTTCATACGAAACTACTGGCAAAATTCGTCATTAACTGCTATAAGGAGTTGATCAACAATTTTTGCAATATTGACTTGAATGAATGAATATTTTATTGCAGAAGCAAACATAATGCTATAGCTAAATAACATAATATATAATGACAATAATGACAGTAAACAGAGAACAACACAATAAAGTCATAGCAAGCACAGAACTACAACTGTTATACAATTATAATTTGTAATCTGAACTTCCATGCCACATTTAGAAATTTACACAAGTTTTCGGTTAAATTCTTTGAGCTAGCTTGCAAAAGAAATACAAGCTTTCTATTATTTGGCCAAGAAAATTTGGGTAAAAACTGTAGCCTCAATGATCTAATTTGTAGATCTTGTTTTTTTGTTGATTTTTGCTATTCAATTTTACTCTCTTTCTATTATAGTTTTCAAGATAAAAAGCAATAATGCATAAATTTGATAAAAATCTTCTATACAGGGCATAATAAGGGCAAATATTACTACAATAAGAAATCTACTGACAATTTCAGCTTGTAGACTTTATACTTGTAGATCTTGTCTTACTGATCATTTTTGCTGTTTTAAGTTTCTATCTATCTTTTATAGTTTTGAAGATAATGGGCAAAAATGCAAAATAAATGGTAAAAATCATCATTTAAGGGCAATAACTCAAATGAGGAATCAACTGAAAATTTAGGTCATATTGATTTATTTGTGGATCTTGTCTTATTTGCTATTTAAAGTTTAATTCACATGTAATAGTTTTCAATATAATAGGCACAATTGAAAAAAGTGGTAAAATTCATCATTTAAGGGCAATAACTCCTATATATAAAAGAGGGACGAAAGATACCAGAGGGACAGTCAAACTCATAGATCGAAAACAAACTGACAACGCCATGGCCAAAAATAAAAAGACAAACAGACAAATAATAGTACAGATGACACAACATAGAAAACTAAAGACTAAGCAACATGAACCCCACCAAAAACTGGGGGTGATTTCAGGTGCTTCGGTAGGGTAAGCAGATCAGAATAAGAATTATAAGAATACATCTGTTAGTTTTGATGTAAATAGAATTGTGAACATTTTTGCTTTTTAACTTTTCTGCCTTTATTCAGATTTTCTCTATCTTTAGCAGATTTCAAGATAGTAGTCAAAACTTGCATTTTACTCCAATGTTCTATTTTTAGCCATGTCATCCATGATGGATGGCAAATGGGATCATAGGACACAATTCTTATACAAGATACATCAACCCAATGATGATTGTGGTTCCAATTGGAAAAGTAGTTTCAAAGGAGAAGATTTTTGTAAAAGTTAATGGACGACTGGGCCAGGTGAGCTAAAAAAAACCTTTTCCCTGATGTCTTATAAACTACTCAATGTCTCCCTTAACAACAATAACCTTTGACATAATTGTCTCCTTACCAACACTCACCTGTGACACAACATGTCTCATACGAATCTTCTGATGTCTCCTTAGCAACACAATTCCAGCAAATACATCTGATGGAACAACATCTAAATCACGGAAAAACTCTTGTAGTAATTTTGCTATCTCTGCTATAGAATTCTGAAGAAAAAAATTCCTGTAGTAATATTCCTAGCTCTGCTATAGATTTAAAAAAAAAACCCAATATAATATGAAGGGAACTGAATCCAAATCTAAATAAAAGAACAGAGTTCCAATGTCCCCCGTGTTGCACATATTTTATAGACTGCTGAAATAGGTCTTGTTAAATAAAATAATTTACATTTCAAACAGACCTTCAAGGGCATTACTTATAGTATACTATAAGTTTTATAAAAATCTGGCAAGAATTGTACCCATGAGAGCGCTAACAAGACCGGACGGACGGACAGATGGACATACAGAGGGACTACCAGTGTTTCTATGTCCCCCTCAACGTGTTGTGCAGGGGGACAGAATAATCCTGAATTTAAAATCAACACCAGTTAAGGGAATAACCAACAGCTTATTTTGTCATCCACATTACTTATGCGAGATATTTGACATTTTTAGTAAGTTAAGCCATAGAGACAGCTAAACCTTGGCCCTCAGCTATACCTTGACCCTCAGCTACCAGTTAACCATAATAACTCATACATAAATGTAAATGATAGCCTCTTGTTCTTACAGATGCAAATTTATCATTATATCTTCACACTTAAGTTAACTGAATCTTACATAAATTAAACTAGTTGCTAACTTCAGTGTCATTTGGTCTCGGTGGAGAGTTGTCTCATGGGCAACAAGACCCAGTTCACACTAGCATTTTTTGAATCGATCTAAATAAAACCAGTGAGCATTCACAATATCTTTAATCCTAATGATGTATATCGGTCTCATCTGAACCACTGCATTCACACTACAAGTAAACATACAATCGACCTGACCTAATTATCTATGAAGCTGTAAACACTGTGTATAAATAGAATGTGTAAATACACATGCTTGCAAAAAAATAATGGGCAAAGTTATTGTTTCACTTGAATTACAAGTTCAAATGTTGATACTGCTGTTCTTATAGTTTTCGTTAATTTTCAAACACAAAAAATTTAGCAAGGAAGTTACAACATCATGAAATGCTGTCGGTTTCTGAAAAGACAAAAACAACAGAAGAAATATAGACTCAGATTTTGAAAAGTTGGTTTTGTACCCTTTCTTTCCCCCATAATTTGATCAAAAGGACTATTTACTCGTGGATCCATGTATCAGCCTTTTATGTTGGTCATCCATTTTGTAATATATTGCATGTGTAGTTTTGCCGCCATACATGCACACAAATTATTTTCAATTCAATAAGCATTGTGTATAAGTTTCATAACATTTGGTTGAGGCAAACTAAAGTTAGAAAACGGAAACAAAAAATGTGTACTTGATCTTAGTTTTGTGGTAATGAATATTGTGTATAGGTTTCATAATGTTTGGTTGGGGCAAACTTTAAGTTACAGAATGGAAACTAAAAATTTTGCAATCTTTCAATTTAAAAAGGGGCATAACTCAATAATGGTTAAAGTGACACTACCCAAATTCAACTTGATCTGTGTTTTATCAGTGGCAGTCAAAATTAAACATTACATTGTATATAGCATTGATTGTAGTTGATTCAACTATAATCATGGACAAAGGAAGATAACTCCAATTAAAAAATTACTTGATATTTAGAAGAAAATATAAATTTTGCAATTTTTCCATTTATAAAGGGGCATAACTCTAGAACGGTTAAAGTGACGCCACCAAAATTCATTCTTGATCTGTGTTTTGTGGTAATAAGCATTGTGTATGAGTTTCATAACATTTGGTTGAGGCAAACTTAAGTTAGAGAACGGAAACTAAAATTTTTGCAATTTTTCCATTTATAAAGGGGCATAACTCTAGAACAGTTAGAGTGACGCCACCAAAATTCAAACTTGATCTGTGTTTTGTGGTCATAAGCATTGTGTATAAGTTTCATAACATTTGGTTGAGGCAAACTTAAGTTAGAGAACGGAAACTAAAAATTTTGCAATTTTTCCATTTATAAAGGGGCATAACTCTAGAGCGGTTAAAGTGACGCCACAAAAATTCAAACTTGATCTGTGTTTTGTGGTAATAAGCATTGTGTATAAGTTTCATAACATTTGGTTGAGGCAAACTCAAGTTAGAGAACTGAAACCAATTTTGGGACGTACATACGTACGTTACTGAGCACAGACGGACAAGGGTAAAACTTAATGCCCCCACCGCTTCTATACATTGTCTAATATCCTCTAGATTTTGAATGACCATATAGCTTGTGTGTTGCCATGACCATATAGCTTAATTGTGTGTGGTCATGACCATATAGCTTGTGTGTGCTATTTTACTTTTTTTTTTTTCAGTCTACAGTCCAAGTTTTTTTTTACTTTACTTTGGCATGCATCTAAAAACTTATTGACAAAAAATATAAAGCTAGCTTATTATCTTAGAAATAAGAGTATATATTCAATTAAAACTCCTTGTAATCATTTTTATTGAATAAGTCTGACCAGATAACTTTATCAAACTGGAAATCCATACGTTATAAATTAGGGTAATAGAAATATTTGATTCCTGACTTCACGACGGAATGTTATTGATCCGGTTCAATGTTCTTGTTGATTGCTGATGCATAATGATCAGGAAATTGCTACAGGATGTCATTGTTACACGTTACGACACAATGATATCCTTTCTGACAGTGGCTTAATACAATAACTCTCTACCTTATAGAAAATTAATGCATAATATAGCTATAAATCACAACCAATCTGTATTTACTGGGTATAAAGAGGATATTTGATGAATGGTAATAACTTCATTCATGGACATTTAGACTTACTTCTATTTTGATATAAATATTGTTCCAGAGATGTTATGGTTTCTTTAGATTCTAACTTCTATTTTGATATATAAATATTGTTCCAGAGATGTTATGGTTTCTTTAGATTCTAACTTCTATTTTGATATAAATATTGTTCCAGAGATGTTAGGGTTTCTTTAGATTCTAACTTCTATTTTGATATAAACATTGTTCCAGAGATGTTATGGTTTCTTTAGATTCTAACTTCTATTTTGATATAAATATTGTTCCAGAGATGTTAGGGTTTCTTTACATTCTAACTTCTATTTTGATATAAATATTGTTCCAGAGATGTTAGGGTTTCTTTAGATTCTAACTTCTATTTTGATATAAATATTATTCCAGAGATGTTAGGGTTTCTTTAGATTCTAACTTCTATTTTGATATAAATATTGTTCCAGAGATGTTAGGGTTTCTTTAGATTCTAACTTCTATTTTGATATAAACATTGTTCCAGAGATGTTATGGTTTCTTTAGATTCTAACTTCTATTTTGATATAAATATTGTTCCAGAGATGTTAGGGTTTCTTTACATTCTAACTTCTATTTTGATATAAATATTGTTCCAGAGATGTTAGGGTTTCTTTAGATTCTAACTTCTATTTTGATATAAATATTATTCCAGAGATGTTAGGGTTTCTTTAGATTCTAACTTCTATTTTGATATAAATATTGTTCCAGAGATGTTAGGGTTTCTTTAGATTCTAACTTCTATTTTGATATAAATATTGTTCCAGAGATGTTAGGGTTTCTTTACATTCTAACTTCTATTTTGATATATAAATTGTTCCCAAGATGTTAGGGTTTCTTTAGATTCTAACTTCTATTTTGATATAAACATTGTTCCAGAGATGTTATGGTTTCTTTAGATTCTAACTTCTATTTTGATATAAATATTGTTCCAGAGATGTTAGGGTTTCTTTACATTCTAACTTCTATTTTGATATAAATATTGTTCCAGAGATGTTAGGGTTTCTTTAGATTCTAACTTCTATTTTGATATAAATATTATTCCAGAGATGTTAGGGTTTCTTTAGATTCTAACTTCTATTTTGATATAAATATTGTTCCAGAGATGTTAGGGTTTCTTTAGATTCTAACTTCTATTTTGATATAAATATTGTTCCAGAGATGTTAGGGTTTCTTTACATTCTAACTTCTATTTTGATATATAAATTGTTCCCAAGATGTTAGGGTTTCTTTAGATTCTTACTTCTTTTTTGTGTCTTATATTGATACATCAATCTTCATATTTACATTTGATTATCATATATTGTGACCTAGTGTAGTTGTTTATTTCTTAGTCCTTCTTTAGTGAATAGTTTCTCATTGGTTATCAAACCATAATTATGTCCTTTATAATTTTTACATTGAAAGAAATAGTTTTCATGTTATGCTAAAAAGTGTATATTCATTTCCCTTTCTAACATACAACAAATAACATTGAAATAGCTGAAAAATTACATAAAACCTTGTGTATTATAAAATTCAATAAACAATTTCAATATTAGCTGATTTTTATGCTTTTTATTGGTGCAAGAAAATGATTTCTGACGTTTTATTTGAAAGTACATTTAGAAGAAAACGTTCTGTTTTAAATGACAGTAGCTACATAAACTGATTACTGAAATTTATACAGCAAACACTAAACTTAATTAAAACAATTGTAGACTCTAAAACAAGTTTACATTAGACAAAGAAACCAGAAAACAGTTGATATCCTTTGTAGTTAAAAATAAGGAAACAAATCATTGTTAAACATTTGTTTATAATTCATGCCAGTCTAAACAATTTGTAAAATATAAACAGAAGATCTTTTGTTATTCATACGGAATCCTATTTATATTAGAAAAAAGAATTTTGTAATAAAATACTTCTTTTATTTAGATGAACCATCCAATAAGATATCAGGTGATATAAAGTACGTTTACTACAGAGATTGTTAGTGTTCATCCAAACCTTAAAAAATAACGATTTATTTTATCGAATCAAACTATTCAGCGGTCAGAAATTTTACCAAACTGCCAGAAAAACCAATCAAGTAATCAATGCTAGTAGGGCTAGGTGAAAAAAGAAAGTATACCTGTAACCATTTTAGATTTGAATCAGATTTGGGTCAGAATTTTGAATGAACTGCAGTATGTGGAGAGAAACACTTATAATCAAGTCACTGTAAAATCTTAATACAACTAAAATAATAGTTAGCAGTCTGTTTATTATGTACTTATGAATGTCATTTTTTCTAATTATTATCAAAATTGACAAATCCTCAATTCTTTATCCTGAAAAGTATAACCTACTAAGGAATAAGTAACCTTACTCTATTAATGTAAAGCTGAGGCTAATACTTCACATCATCCAGACATTAGGCAACTACAAAACTGGTATGAATTTAGATTTGATAAATAGATTGTTACTTTAATTGCCAGAAAATCATTTTTTGTTTAATTCTATATCTTTTTATTTAAAGCTGCTATTAGAAACTTTTTACTGATCATACTTTATATCTATTTTCCTGGGACATCAACTTTTTAGATAATCATGCATGTTAATATTGAAGTCTGCAAATTAAGATTAAATAAAGAAAACCCAACAGAACTTAATATTTCAAGGATATTTTTAATTAAATATTACCTAAGGCAGGTAAAAGCAAAATAGAAATAATACTTTACATAGAATTAATCAATTCCAATATCAAACCCTTATTCAACACTTAATCTTATTTAGAATACTCTCTGTGAATTTAATCTTGTAAATGTAATCTGCTAGACCAGCTGTCACAGGATACTGGAGGACAAATTCAATTATATACAGAAGTGGGTAATAAAACAAAGGACATTCTTATATCAATACAATCAATGTTAAAACAATATGGTTGGTAGCTGTCATCTTACATGTCAGACATTAGTGATTGACTTACAAAACCAATAACAAAAGTAGACACAAGGTTGTATATGCTCTCCATACTTCAACATGTACAACTCAACTCTTATTATTTTGACTTTCTGCATGTATAAGCTGTACAATCTGCCCTGTCATACAAACTCTATTATATATCCATTTCACATTACAAGAACATAATTGTGATATAAGGAAGTTCATCATAATCACTATATTACCCCATCTGCTATAAAGAAGTTCATCATAAGCCTTATATTACCCCCATCTGCTACTCCTACACAGTTTATTGTCCATACAACAACTGAAATTTTCCTTGTACCATCCACAAATCTGACCAGTCATTGGCACTATATTTCTTTTTCTTTCCTTGCCATGCACAACTTTAACAGCTGTTCAATATTCTTCCCTAATATTCGTAATAAGCACTACGCTTCCCCCACCCTAACAAAATATGCCAAGTCATACTGTGACACATGCTTAATTCCTATATATCCACTAATTCTATGTGTCATACATACCATATATATCCACTAATTCTATGTGTCATACATACCATATATATCCACTACTTCTATGTGTCATACATACCCTATATATCCACTAATTCTATGTGTCATACATACCCTATATATCCACTAATTCTATGTGTCATACATACCCTATATATCCACTAATTCTATAGGTCATACATACCCTATATATCCACTAATTCTATGTGTCATACATACCATATATATCCACTAATTCTATGTGTCATACATACCCTATATATCCACTAATTCTATGTGTCATACATACCCTATATATCCACTAATTCTATGTGTCATACATACCATATATATCCACTAATTCTATGTGTCATACATACCATATATATCCACTAATTCTATGTGTCATACATACCATATATATCCACTAATTCTGTGTCATACATACCATATATATCCACTAATTCTATGTGTCATACATACCATATATATCCACTAATTCTGTGTCATACATACCATATATATCCACTAATTCTATGTGTCATACATACCATATATATCCACTAATTCTATGTGTCATACATACCCTGTTTCTATGTGTCATACATACCCTGTTTCTATGTGTCATACATACCCTGTTTCTATGTGTCATACATACCCTGTTTCTATGTGTCATACATACCCTGTTTCTATGTGTCATACATACCCTGTTTCTATGTGTCATACATACCCTGTTTCTATGTGTCATACATACCCTGTTTCTATGTGTCATACATACCCTGTTTCTGCCTTTTCTTTCCACACAACAACATAATAACTGTAATCTCCTATCCCAACTCTCTTCATAAGCTCTAATGGCCTTCCTGAAAATATAAAGTTTAGTGTCATTTTTACAAAACCAAATTTAACATGATAAAACAGAAACTTATTTCACATATGAATGAAATAATTAGTGGGGTGTTTGTTAATTATACAACAACAATGGCACAAAAAAAAACTACAATATCTAGGTCAACACCAATATAATCTAAAGGACAAAAACATAAAAGTAGTCTCTGACAAGAATCCTGATTTGAGATTTCCACATAAGCATGCTGTGAGGTTCCTGACTTGAGATTGACAAATGTTATTTGCCAAACCGGAAATTTAGATACAATCTGGGTAATCTTATCAATCCTTAAATAAAATTATTCTAAAAGATTATCAATTCAACACTGAAATTAGACCTTTGAATATTGTTTTTATTGGTATAAATATTGATTTTGTTATCAGTAAATTAAAACAATACTAAATATCATTGTTATAAACAAATGCACTTTCACGGTACTACAATCTGTCGATGCCTACATTTTGGCATTGCACAAGGTCATGTTTTTCTCTGACTGTAAATGACGTCTTTAAACTATATCCATTGGATGTTGGATGTGTACTGATTGATATTTTAGTTTTAGATACATGATTTTTTTATTAGTTTTTATTGGCTTTGAACTAGCTGTCAGTAACTTCGAGCACTCTCAGATCTTTATACTTTGTGTCTTTTTTGTTGTAAGGGATGTATAAATACCCTGTTACGTTTTTGTTAGATGTTTTTCTGCTTTAAAATTGTATCGATCTGATGAGTTAAGCCATTTTCAACTGATTTTTATAGTTTGTTCTTATGACATGTTGAGCTGTAACACCACTCTCCCAGGTTATGGGAGGATTGAGCCCTTAAGCATGTTAAACCCTGCCATATTCTTTTTGTGCCTGTCCCAAGTCAGGAGCCTGTAGTTCATTAGTTGTTGTTGGTTCATGTCGGTCATATTTGTTTTTTCAAAAATTGTTTTTTTTATAAATTAGGCTGTTATTTTTCTCAATTGAATTGTTTCATATTTTAATTTATTCTCTGGGATATTTCACATTTCTACAAATTCAAACCAAAAACAGGTTTTGCTTCCTGTGCAAAAATTAACATAGATGTCTAAGTAGAAGTACTTTGTTAATTCAAATTAATTGTTCTCTCCTTTCAAGATCAGAACAAGACATCATTGCCAGAGTTTCCTTGTCAATTTAAAGCTATTACTAAGAATATAATAATTAATGACAGGACCAGTAACTTATTCAATTTGAAAAAGATACGCTTTAAGGTGTTAACCATAGCAACATAAATAGTAATCCTCAATAGTAAGAAACAATTTTCTCAACAAATAATTCTGTTTCTGTCTAGACTAATATCTTTCTGTGACTGATATAATAATTTACAAATTATATCCCAATCACAGAAGAATTAATTAAAGTACAGTCAGAATGGGATAAATAAAGACAACACTTGACATCACAAAATCTGTACTAAGGTTCATATAAACCTGGATATCACAGACTCTGTACTAAGGTTCATATTAACCTGGATATCACAATCTCTGTACTGAGGTTCATATAAACCTGGATATCACAAACTCTGTACTAAGGTTCATATTAACCTGGATATCACAATCTCTGTACTGAGGTTCATATAATACTGGACATCACAAAATGCACTAAGTATATAAAAAAAGAAGTGGTATGATTGCCAATGAGACAACTCTCCACCAGAAACCAAATGATGCAGAAGTTAGCAACTATAAATCCCTGTATCATCATCGCCCCAGGCCTTCAACAAAGAACAAAACCCTTACAACTGTTCATATAAACCTAGATATCACAAACTCTGTACAAAAGTTTATATAATCCTGGATATCACAAACTCTATACTAAGGTACATATAAAACTGGATATATATATCACAAATTATGTACTAAGGTTCATATAAATCTGGATATTATAAAATTGTAATAAGGTTCATAAAATCCTGGATATCACAAGCTCTATATTAAAGTTCACAGAAACCTGGATATCACAAACTCTGTAATAAGCTTCACATAAAACAGGATATTGCAAACTCAGTGTACTAAGGTTCATTTTAACCTGGATATCACAAACTCTGTAAGTAGGTACAATATAAACCTGGATATCACAAACTCTGTACTTAGGTTCACATAAACCTGGATATCACAAACTCTGTACTTAGGTTCACATAAACCTGGATATCACAAACTCTGTATTAAGATGTATATGAACCTTGATATTACAAACTCTGTACAAAGGTCCATAACAACCTGGATACTTAGGACTAAGTAAAAAGACTGAACACAAAACTGGGATATCACACATTCTGTTCTGAGACTTAACACAAAAATTAATAACAAGTAGTCTATACAAAGACTTAACACAAACCTGGATATCAAGAACTCTGTACAAAGTCTAAACACAAACATTGATATCAAGTACTGTATATTAAGACTAAACACACAACATGACATCAAGCACTCTCAACAAAGACCCAACACAAACCTGGATATCAAATACTCTGTACAAAGTCTAAACACAAACCTAGATATCAAATACTCTGTTCAAAGTCTAAACACAAACCTTGATATTAAGTACCTTATATTAAGACTAAACACAAAACATGACATCAAGCATTCTCAACAAAGACCCAACACAAACCTGGATATCAAATACTCTGTATAAAGTCTAAACACAAACCTTGATATCAAGTACCTTATATTAAGACTAAACACAAAACATGGCATCAAGCACTCTCAACAAAGACTGAACACAAACCTGGATATCAAATACTCTGTACTAAGTCTAAACACAAACCTTGATATCAAGTACCTTATATTAAGACTAAACACAAAACATGACATCAAGCACTCTCAACTAAGGCTAAACACAAACCTGGATATCAAATACTCTGTACAAAGTCTAAACACAAACCTTGATATCAAGTATCTTAATGACTAAACACAAAACATGACATCAAGCATTTTCAACTAAGGCTAAACACAAACCTGGATATTGAATACTTTGAACAAAGACCCAACACAAACCTAGATATCAAATACTCTGTACAAAGTCTAAACACCAACCTAGATATCAAATACTCTGTTCAAAGTCTAAACACTAACCTTGATATCAAGTACCTTATATTAAGACTTAACACACAACATGACATCTAGCACTCTCAACAAAGTCTAAACCCAAACCTTGATATCAAGTACCTTACATAAAGACTAAACACAAAATATGACATCAAGCACTCTCAGCAAAGACTAAACACAAACTTGGATATTAAATAATCTGTACAAAGTCTAAACACAAACCCTGATATCAAATACTGTGCACACTTAACCAACTCATGGCGTCTTTCCATTTTTTCAAAAAAACATTTTTCCCATCAGTACTTTATCATTCAGAAAACCAAAACTGTGATAGTGGAAATGACAAACAGACATCTGCATCACTAAATACTCTTGCTTCAAATATGCTGTTTAATATAACAGAACACTAAACAATCTTTAATACTAAACTCTTATTCGTCAAAAGTACTGTATTAGACTCAAAAGATTCATAAATCATACCCAATCTTCAGCTATATTTATATAGAAAACCATAATAATTTCAGTAACTATATTTAGGTGGAAAAACCAATTATTTGTGACACATTCTAAATCTAACTAAAACAAAAGCCACCTACACAGTTTAAGCACTAATGTAAATGCTACAAGATAAAGATCAGACCAAATAAACGCTATCAATTTGAAGTATTGATTCACAATAAACATATAAAATATGAATTGCAAAGTTAAGTTTATTGTAGTCATTGGTATTGGCATTTAGAGTAAGAACCCATTCTATATAGACATAAAGTCAACAAAGTCAAAATATTTCTTTCAACTGTTATATTATGTATTGGAAACTGTAATATAGCAATTCTCTTTATGCATGAAATGGGCCCATACTAGTTCTGTTCATGTTTAATCAACCTGTTGAACTTTACACCTATAGCATTATAATAACCAATCTCAAACTTCTTGTGATGTACTGAGAATGTATGTTGTGATGTACTGACTTTATAATTTGAAGCATTGATACTTGTATGTTGTGGTGTAGTGAGACTTATATTGTGATGTATTGAGACTTCATGTGTTGGTGAATTTTAACTTTATGTTGTGATGTATTGAGACTTCATGGGTTGGTGAATTTTAACTTTATGTTGTGATGTATTGAGACTTCATGGGTTGGTGAATTTTAACTTTATGTTGTGATGTATTGAGACATATTTGTTTGTGATATTTTTAGACTGAATGTTTTGATGAACTGAGACTTAAATGTTTGTGAATTAATGAGACTTTATGTTGTGATGAACTGAGACTTTATGTTGTGACCTTATGTTGAGATGTACTGAGATTCTATGTGTTGATGCACTTCAAATTCATGTTGTGATGTACTGAGACTTTATGCTGTGATGTACAAAGACTTAATGTTGTGATGTACTGAGACTTAATGTTGTGATGTACTGAGACTTTATGTTGTGATGTACTGAGACTTTATGTTGTGATGTACTGAGACTTTATGTTGTGATGCACTGAGACTTATGTTGAGATGTACTGAGACCTATGTTGTGATGTACTGAGACTTTATGTTGAGATGTACTGAGACCTATTTTGTGATGTACTGAGACTTTATGTTGAGATGTACTGAGACCTATGTTGTGATGCACTGAGACTTATGTTGAGATGTACTGAGAACTATGTTGTGATGTACTGAGACTTTATGTTGAGATGTACTGAGACCTATGTTGTGTTGCACTGAGACTTATGTTGAGATGTACTGAGACCTATGTTGTGATGTACTGAGACTTTATGTTGTGATGTACTGAGACCTATGTTGTGATACACTGAGACTTATGTTGAGATTTACTGAGACCTATGTTGTGATGCACTGAGACTTTATTTTGTGATGTTCAGAGACTGAATGTTTTGATGACTTGAGACTTATACATTTGTGATGTTCTGAGACTGACTGTTTTGATGACTTGAGACTTATACATTTGTGATGTTCTGAGACTGAATGTTTTGATGACTTGAGACTTATACATTTGTGATGTTCTGAGACTGAATGTTTTGATGACTTGAGACTTATATACGTTTGTGATGTTATGAGACTGAATGTTTTGATGAC